TTCCTAAAAGTACATAAAAGCAGCTTTCCAACGATCTATAGCATTAAGCAATCAGAGTTATGGAAATCCTGCTGTACAGCCTGATTGAAACGGAGCGCAGCACAGAGGTGAAAGCGGATAACGGAACGGGGAAGCTAATTGGCATGAAAAGCCGGCATGAAATTATGGAAATGCCTCAAAGAAAATCAACACAATCAATTAGGTGTCCCAGAAGGCTTATGTCTGATGACCGTGACCACGAAGAAGGACATATCTCAAGTGAACCAGGGTATGAATTTTTGTTCAGTCTTTATTTTTTATTTTTTTATTTGAACGGTCCTCATCTACAGGTGCTGGCCAGTAAATTAGAATATCATCAAAAGGTTGAAAATATTTCAGTAATTCCATTCAAAACGTGAAACTTGTACATTATATTCATGCAATGCACACAGACCAATGTATTTCCAATGTTTATTACGTTTAATTTTGATATTCATAAGTGACAACTAATGAAAACTCCAAATTTGGTATCTCAAAAAATTAGAATATTCTGAAAAGGCTGAATATAGAAGACACCTGCTGCCACTCTAATCAGCTGATTTACTCAAAACACCTGCAAAGGCCTTTAAAAGGTCCCTCAGTCTTGTTTTGAAGGCACCACAATCATGGGGAAGACTTCTGACTTAACAGCTGTCCAAAAGACAATCATTGACACCTTGCACAAGGAGGGCAAGACACAAAAGGTGATTGCTAAAGAAGCTGGCTGTTCGCAGAGCTCTGTGTCCAAGCACATTAACAGACAGGCGAAGGGACGGAAAAAATGTGGTAGAAAAAAGTGTACAAGCTCTAGGGATAACCGCACCCTGCAGAGAATTGTGACGACAAACCCATTCAAAAATGTGGGGGAGATCCACAAAGAGTGGACTGCAGCTGGAGTCAGCGCTTCAAGAACCACCACGAGGAGACTCATGAAAGACATGGGATTCAGGTGTCGCATTCCGTGTGTCAAGCCACTCTTGAACAAGAAACAGCGCAAGAAGCGTCTCGCCTGGGCCAAGGACAAAAAGGACTGGACTGATGCTGAGTGGTCCAAAGTTATGTTTTCTGATGAAAGCAAGTTCTGCATTTCCTTTGGAAATCAAGGACCCAGAGTCTGGAGGAAGAGCGGAGAAGCACAGAATCCACGTTGCATGAGGTCCAGTGTAAAGTTTCCACCGTCAGTGATGGTGTGGGGTGCCATGTCATCTGCCGGTGTTGGCCCACTCTGTTTCCTGAGGTCCAGGGTCAATGCAGCCGTCTACCAGGAAGTTTTAGAGCACTTCATGCTTCCTGCTGCTGACCAACTTTATGGGGATGCAGACTTCACCTTTCAACAGGACTTGGCACCTGCACACAGTGCCAAAACCACCAGCACCTGGTTCAAGGACCATGGTATCCTTGTCCTTGATTGGCCAGCAAACTCGCCTGACCTTAACCCCATAGAAAATCTATGGGGTATTGTGAAGCGGAGGATGCAATACGCTAGACCCAACAATGCAGAGGAGCTGAAGACGACTATCAGAGCAACCTGGGCTCTCATAACACCTGAGCAGTGCCACAGACTGATCGAGTCCATGCCACGCCGCATTACTGCAGTTATTGAGGCAAAAGGAGCCCCGACTAAGTATTGAGTGCTATACATGCACATTCTTTTCATGTTCATTCTTTTCAGTTGGCCAACATTAGAGAAACAAACATTTTTTCATTGGCCTTTAGAATATTCTAATTTTCTGAGATACCAGATTTGATGTTTTCATTGGTTGTCACCTATAAATATCAAAATTAAACGTAATAAACATTGGAAATACATTGGTCTGTGTGCATTGCATGAATATAATGTACAAGTTTCACGTTTTGAATGGAATTACTGAAATATTTTCAACCTTTTGATGATATTCTAATTTACTGGCCAGCACCTGTATTTGCTAATTGTAAGATTCAGCTTCATTCCAGCATTATTTCTTTTTACAATAAATAATTATTTTTGCTAAAACAAAAGTTTTTGGTATAGCAGTTCACGGTGTACAAGCGTGGCAGTGTGAGGTGTGCAGGACTCTGCCTGCAGCTGGAGAGAAACTGCTTCAAGACCTACCACATCACATAAAAACGTCTGAAAGTTTACAAAAATAAATGGTCCTAAAAAGTGCTAAAAAAGATACCAAGGTTCAAACTTTTTTAAGAATGGATGCATTACAGTTCAAAGTTTAAATTGTTTGCCCAAGTCATTTCGAAGTTCCTGTTCCAATCCAATTTTATTTATATAGCGCATTTAAAAACAGCATGTCGGCTGACCAAAGCACTGTAGAGAGGTAAACCTAAAAAGCCATTTAAAATACACATACATACACATTAAACACAGATAAAAGCTGTCATAAAATAGAAACATCTAAAAACAATACAAATGTATAAAACAGCCAATAAAAGAGAAAAACAGAAGTCAGTAAAACAGAAGAGCCACAGCATAAAAGACCGATCATTGACCAAAAGCCAAATTAAAGAAATGTGTCTTCAGGCTGGATTTAAACTGTGCCAGTGAAGAAGCCTGGCGTACCACCAGAGGGAGTGCATTCCAAAGTCTTGGAGCTGCAAAGGTGAACGCACGCTCCCCACGAGCTTTATATTTCATTTTAGGGACTATGAGCAATAGATGATCAGCAGACCTTAGTGACGGGTGGGGGGTGAGCAGCTCTGACAGGTATAAGGGGGCTAGACCATTCAGGGCTTTGTAAGTAAAAGTAAGAACCCTGTGTTGAATCCGAAATTGCACCGGAATCCAGTGTAGATCCGCCAGAATGGGAGTAATGTGGCAGCGTCTATTGGCATTAGAAAGAAATCTGGCTGCAGCATTCTGGACTTTCTGCAGATGATTTAGGACAGATACAAAGTTTATTACTGTTCAGTAATAAATGTAAAACATTCAAATCAGTTTTTTTTGTGCTTTTTTCACTTTTAAGCTGATCTTTTAAAGGCTTTAATATCAATAAATTCTAAATACAAACCATACACTGAAAGCTGAGGTTGTTCTGAAAAAAGGAGAAGAGTTACACACTTTGTACTTTTTATTACAATTTTACAATTTTGTAAACATCAAAAGGAAGCAGAAAGAAAAGACAATGGAAAATGTTTAAAGGGAGGAAATCATGGACCAAAATGGAAAATAGAAAAAAAAAAACAGGCAAAAGCACAGGAGCACTGACAGGAAAAAGAAAGCAGAGCAAATATTGAAAACGCTCAAAGGGAGGGAAATACAGGAAAAAAGACGACGACTAATAAAAAGGGAAAATAACTCATGTCAGAAGAGGGGAGAGTTTCGCAAATCCAGTTAAAGGTAAGATTGTCGAAAATTTAGTGTAAGGGGCCCCATGTCTGTGTTCGCCTTGGGCCCCCAAATTGCTAAATCCGCCACTGGTTGGCGGCCACAGCTAATCAACATTAGCTAACACATAAAAGGCTCTAACTCTCTGTTACAGATAATAAGCTGTAATTTCAGGTCATTTCCAACAAATATTTTCAGGTCATCAGATGATTTGACCAAAAAGGATTTTCTTCATTATTTCTCTACATCAGATGATCTTGAAGGACGAAAAGGATCTTTTCTAAAGCGCCTCTCAGGATTAAAATCACACGGCGCCTTAAAATATAAACAAGATTTTAAAACATGATTAAAAATATGTTTTAAATGAAACTAAATTAACAAATGTGATTAACAAATGTAAGGAAAGGGAGGAGAGATGAATAGGAAGGGGGAAAATCGGTGGATCCCAGGAAAGGCGGAATAAGGAGAGGGTGTGAGGAAGTTAACACTATAAGAGGAAGTAGTTGTTCCTGGAAAAAACCTTTCAACCAAGCTACATTTTGAAAGGGGAAAAAAAACATTTCAAAGGCCCAACCCCCTTTCTTCAGGCACCACCCCTAAGCCCCGCCTCCTGCACACAGGATGAAACGGGTGCTGTCCACCATCGGTGTGTGCAGAAAATCAAGCTAAAGGCTCCAGAAACAACTTCCTCTTACCCAAAGGGTTGGTGACCAGATTTAACCACTTCAGCACTCTTTTCTTGATTTGGAGCCTAAACCAGGAATAAAACTTTTTTTCTGAAAAAGTCTAAAAATGTATGCAAAGAACAGAAACTACAAATTAATAGGTAAGAAATGATTAGAAATTTAAAAAGTTTATAAAGTCTTTCAATTGTAAGATCCACGGGTTGAAGTTTTACAGCGAGTGTGTTTTAGAGGGTATTTGTCTCAGAGCCTTTATGAAGGGTGTTTCATGGCTTATTTGGACTTTCTTTGGCTGCTTTTTCTACGCCAGAAAAATGGCTGACAATAAAGTTTATCTTTTGAAATTAAAAAAGGAAACGTTACCATGAAAGCCTGGCTCTTTGGTTGCAACTTATCAGGACATGAGGCCCAATTGAAAATTATTTTAGAGAAATAGTTAATAGCAAAAGTAGAGACAAAGCAGTGTTACAGCAGCTGAGTCTTATGTGATGCACTTCCTCAGGGTTTCCCCCAGAAAATGAGTTAAGCGTGGCGGCTTCGGCCGTGGGGAGTTTGGGATCACGCGCTCCGTCCCGCAGCGCTCCTCCGTGATGGGGGGTGGGGGGGGGGTGGGTGGGGGTTGCACACGGTCGGCTGCTGTTTCTCACCAGTATCAGCTGATGAAGGGCTTTAGTTTCGCTGCGCCGTTCGTGTCAGCGGACACGGTAGGGTCGGGGAGGGGGGCGGGGCATGACGCTTAGCCTGGCGGGTGGGCAAGCAAAGCCTGGCGGCCCGCCAGGCTTATAAAGCGCTGGGATAAACCCTGACTTCCTGTTTGTAGATATTCAGAAACGCCGATTACATTTCCCTAAAGATCTCGGCAAACACTGTAGTGTTGCTGTCTCATGTGTAACAAATGCTTCCTAATCAAAGTGTTTGCAGCGACAGGGATTACATTCATGTAACACCACGCTCGGTGTACTGACAGTTTTGTTGTTCTCCAGGGTCTTTAGTGGGTGTCGGTGATGTCATCTCCCAACAGCTGATTGAGAGGAGAGGATTAGCTCATCACAATGTGAGACGGACAGCCAAGATGATGAGCATAGGATTCTTCTTTGTGGTAATTTTTATTTCTTTAATCTCCAGGCGTTCAACTTTATTTGTCCTCATAGGAACACCAACATGTTAGCTTTATTTAAGGAATCTGCAATGGATGCAGTTGCTGATATCTACTGGGAAGCATTTAAATCAAATATTTATAATGTTCAGGAAAGTGTCTGGGGTTCATTTATTTTCTTTGATTAAAGGGTCCAGTAATCGGCAGCTGGTACAAAGTTTTAGACAGGTTGGTGGTGGGAGCAACGAAGAGCGCTGCCATGAAGAAAATGCTGGTTGATCAGGTGAGAAAACCCTCCAAATCCTTCTTTTCCTCCTCTTCTAGAAGTAGCTAAGGAAAATTTGCCAAATTTATTCCAGATGTTTGCAACAAATTAGTTTCCAAACGGTCTTGAAAGGTTTGTGAGGGTTTCTTGATTTGCTCGTGGGAGTCCCTTGGCCCTCATGTCAATGGAATTTTGAGCATCTTTGATACAATTTGCTGAACAGAAATTCCTTGTCCTGATCTAGAATTCATCTCAAACTCATCTCAAACTTTCCTCGAATGCATTTAGAATTCTTATTAAACTTATGTCGAGCACGTCTCAAAGTCCTTTTGAAGTTGTTTCAACCTTATATTAAACTTGTATTGAACTCTTCTCAAACTCTTCCCAAACTCTTCTCAAACTCTTCCCAAATTCTTATCAAACTCTTCCCAAACTCATCAAACTGTTCCCAAACTCAAATCAAACGGTTCCCAAACTCTTCTCAAACTCTTCCCAAATTCTTATCAAACTCTTCCCAAACTCATCAAACTGTTCCCAAACTCAAATCAAACGGTTTCCAAACTCAAATCAAACTCTTCCCAAACTCGTCCCAAACTCAAATCAAACTCGTCCCAAACTCTTCTCAAACTCTTCCCAAATTCTTATCAAACTCTTCCCAAACTCATCAAACTCGTCCCAAACTCAAATCAAACTCGTCCCAAACTCATATCAAGCTCTCAACTTTTTCTAGAATTAATTTCTTAATCTTCTCATTCTTGTATTAAACTCTTCTCAATTTAGCTCATCTCATACATCGTTTGATCTCTTATCAAACTCATCTTGAGCTCTTCGTTAGTTTACTGAGAAAGTGTAAGAAATCTGAGATCACTTTAGAGGATTTTGAAATCACAGCAAAACCAATGAGGATAAAATTGCAAGAAATCAAGACTGTTGCAGGTTGACATTTTTGTGGTGATTTCACTGAATGTTGAATTTGTTAAATAAATATAATGTCTCTTAGTATAAATGTTTCAAGTTGAAACAGAAAAGGGTATTTATCTGTAGTAAAATGATGAATGAAGCTAGTCTTCCCAAATAACCTAAACAGGCTTAATTTAAACAGAGTAAAGATTAACCTTAACATTAATTCAGCTGTTCCTCATCATATTTCTGTACAGTTTTAAGAGTTTTTTTTTTCAAATGCAAAGCAAATATGAAGTACTTAATGTACTAATTGTCCTGTTTTATGTGTTTTTTATTTATTTTTTATTTTTTGTCATAGTTGTGTTTTGCTCCGTGTTTTTTGGGAGCTTTCTTGTGTATTTCTGGCGCTCTGAACGGACTAACGGTGGAGGAAAACGTCGCCAAGCTCAAGAGGGTGAGTGACCTTTATCTGTGTCTGTTTGCTGCAGAAATCAGCGGTGCAGCTAAAAAGTTTTTCAGTTCAGACTATTCAGTAGGTCCAGATTATACACAAATCATTGTTTTAAAGCAGAATCGATAATGATGAATTATTCATGAAGCTTTTCTACCTAAACCTTTGTCTTTGCCAGTGAACACCAGACAGTTTATCTCTGTGGGTTTGAGCATCAGAATAATTAAGAAAAAATATTTTTACTTTCATTTCTGGCCCAAAGATCTAGTTTAAAGCACATTTAGAGAAGGAAGTTTTAAAAAATGTCTCCTTTTGTTTGTACCGAGTGGTGATTTACTCTTTCAGTGGTTTGGACAAAGACTTTGTTACAACTCGACCCGAGTGTTGACTCAAACTGAGCAGGAGGCTTTCTGCTCTTGCTGATGGGTTCAGGATCTGACCTCCAGCGCTCACCTCTCATTTTCATGGTTAGAAACCATTTCCTGTGATGGAGGAAGAGACAAATGGGGGGGGGGGGGGAGAAGCAGCTGCGGTGACTCATACCTCCATTTATGTATGTGTGTGTGTGTGTGTGTGTGTGTATTTGTATGCCCAGCCAGAGCGAACTGTCATGTTGTGCCAGCTGCTCAAACGTCCATCACTGCTTTACTTACCCAACGTGCCGCTGATCACCATCAATTATTTACCGAAGGAGAGGTGCGGACCTGAAAGGCCAGCCTGGTAAATGTCAGAAAGGACACAAAATAAATGACAAATGTGCTCGTTCCGACCGGGCCTGGCACCGAGGAAGTGTGAGAGGAAAGTTAATGGAGCTGCCGACAGAACAGCCGCTCTAAAACTTCAAAGTGTTCTCTCTCTTTTTTTTTTAAGTTTAATTTACTTAAAAATCAACTGTTTAACTTATTTAATCTTGAACACCAACAGGGATCAGATTTAAAGGTCAGGAAAAAATCAAATAAATGTTTTCAGTCCTTATGAAGTCTAAAACTTAAACCTTCACAAGCTCATAATTCTGATAACAGCGTCAGTAGTCGTAGTTTTGTGAACAGATTAGAACCAGAAGCTTTAGTGGACTTTTGCTGCTGGTTTTGCACTTTTTTCCAGTTTCAGATGCGGTTTGGGTCTTGTTCTTTGAGTGGAGCATCTTTACTTTCCGTCCCCAGAAAGTACTGAGTCAGCCTCCAAGTTAATGATGAGCGAGGCCTGTAATTTACATCACAGCTAAACCTCGACTGTGTTTTTATTGAACTGTTTTTATTCTGGTTTATTATGACCTTCTGTAAGGCGCTTTGGTCAGCTCTCACGCTGTGTTGAAATGCGCTTTTACGAATAAATTGGTATGTATAGATCAGACGTTTTCTGTAAGTCTTCACAAGGTTTTCACACACTGTTGCAGGTATTTTGGCCCATCCTTCCATGCAGATCTCGTAAATAGCAGAGATGTTTTGGAACTACACAGACTTTGTCATGCTGAAAGACCCAGCCATGTTTCGTCTTCAATGCCCTTGCTGATGGAAGGAGGTTTCCACTCCAAATCTGATGTTACATGGCCCCGTTCATTCTTTCCTTTACAGGATCAAAAACAGCCCCAAAGCATGATGTTTCCTCCCCCGTGCTTTACAGCAGGTATGGTATTCTTTAGATGCAACTCAGCCTTCTTTCTCCTCTAAATACGACCAGTAGAGTTTTATTTTGGTTTCATCTGACCATATGACATTCTCCCAGTCCTCTTCTGGATGATTCAGATGCTCTCTAGCAAGCATCAGACGGGCCTGTACTGGCATAAGCAGGACTCATCCCCGGTGGCGTAGTGTAACCTTGGTCTTGGCTCTCTGCAGGTCATCCACCAGGTCGCCCCATGTAGTTCTGGGATTCTAGCAGATCATTCTGACTCCATGGGGTGAGATCTTGCGGGGAGTCCCTGATGGAGGGAGATAATCTACGGACTTGTATGCCTTCCACTTTCTGATAGTTGCTCCCACAGATTCAGTCATCAGTCTGGTGCAGGACTACAGTTTTGTTTCTGGTGTCCTTTGACAGCTCGTTGCTCTGGGCCACGGTGGAGTTTGGAGCGTGACAATTTGAGGTTGTGGACAGGTGTCTTTTATACTGGTAACCAGTTCCAACAGGTGTCATAGGTACAGGGAACGAGTGGAGGGCAGACGTGCCTCTTACAGAAAGTTACATGTCTGTGAGAGCCAGAAATAATTTCACCATAAGTTGCAAATAAGTTCATAAAATAATAAATTAAAATGTGATTTCTGGATTATTTTCCCATCTTGTATCTCGTAGTCGAGGTTTACCTGTGATGTAAATTACAGGACTCATCTTTTAAGTGGGAACTTGGAGGCTGACTAAAAATGTTTTTGCCCCGCTGAAACTAAAGATGCTCCACTCGAACCACAAGACCCAAAATGCATCTGAATCTGGAAAAACATGACCAACAGGACTGCAGTGTGTTGGCTAAACTGGCATAAAGTAACTTTTAAGACTTTAAGTAGGTGGAAATGTCTCTTCCGTTTTTGTGGACAGAAGATTTTGACGTAATTTTTCCTGCGGTGGTAAAAGAAGCTTGTTTGGCCGTAATTAGAAAAGTGTTTCAGCCTGGAAAGCAAAGCGACCCGGAACATTAGCTTGTTGTTTTAACGTGTCGAGGCTCTCCGAGGTGACCTTTAGGTAGACGACAGGAGATCTGGTCTGGGTCTGAGCAGTCTCCTTCAAACACATATGCGTGCGCGCGCACACACACACACACATGCATGCACGTGCACACACACACATGCATGCTCACACACAAGCACGCTCTTGCATGCACACATGCACTTACATGCACGCACATGCACAGACACACATGCACACACACACACATGCACAGACATACACACATGATTGTGCATACACATGCACACACACGCACAGACACACATGCACACGCATACACGTGCACACACACGCACATGCATGCACATGCACACACGCACATGCACAGACACACGCACATGCACGCACACAGACACACCTGCTTGTGCACACACACACACACACAGGACTAAAGTTAAAAAGCACAGGTTTTGTTTTTTTGTTTTAGTTTGTAGATAAGAGATGAAATCCTGTTTCCTTGCTGTCTCCACAGGACTACACGGATGCTCTGCTCTCTAACTACTACGTAAGTTTTCCCAAATCTTCTCTTCGACTTGATTCAGAGAATATAAGATCTGCTCCGTTAGAAATGTGACCCGAGAATTTACCAGAATGCTGTTGTCCATTTTAGCTGTGGCCTCCCGTTCAGATCGTAAACTTCTACTTCATCCCACTTCATCACAGGTTGGAGTTTTCATTCAGGTTCTACTGGTTTGTGTTCAGAAGTAAAGTTTATTTATATATATATATATATGTGTGTGTGTGTGTGTGTGTGTGTGTGTGTGTGTACACGTAGGATATTTTATTTCTGTATTTTAAGACGTCTTCATTTGCCTTTAACTTCTTGACTGTCTGAATTTTTGGGTGAAATTGTCCAAAAAGTCTAAAAGAAACCTTCAGAACAGCTTCAGGAGGTCTGGAAAACTTCTGACAAAGATCAGTTTAATAGATCACAATAATTCCTGGCTGCCCTGAAGCTTTTCTCTGTAACTATTCCGTGATGCTTGTCTGTCGCGCTGATGAATGCAGTTTTGCTCCTCCTTGCAGGCTGGCTGTCGTCCAGGTCGTCGCTGTTGCCTGGAACTCCTACCTGACCTGGAAGGCCAATAAGATTTGAAGAGAACTCGCTGCTGCTTCTGATGATGATGATGATGATGAATTTACTCATTTGTAGATGCTAGTGTGTGACTTATTTTACTCTTCTGGTATTTCCAACGTGTAAAACTGTGACTGAGTCACACGTAAAGGTCGGGTCTAGTCCGTGTGACACAATCGCACTTGAAAGTCAAACTTGCGTTTGCAGAACTGGCCGTGAAACTTGGTTATTAATGGACTTGGCAGTGGTGCTGCAGTAGAAACACACATTAACACCTGCTGGTTTTCGCCCTCGCTGACTCGATGAGCTCTTTTGATAATGTACTTGTGATTTACATGTTTGGTTTAATCCATTCCTCTCCTCCCACCTCGCTCTGGTGGGCGAGACTGTTCCAGGTAATAAAAAGTCAGGAAAAAAACATCCAGATGAAATTTGTCTGAAACTTTTCTTAAAAAGAGGTGTGTGTGTGTGTGTGTGTGTGTGTGTGTGTGTGTGTGTGTGTGTGTGTGTGTGTGTGTGTGTGTGTGTGTGTGTGTGTGTGTGTGTGTGTGTGTGTGTGTGTGTGTGTGTGTGTGTGTGTGTGTGTGTGTGTGTGTGTGTGTGTGTGTGTGAAATGCTCAGACTATTTGTTTTTCAACAAGTCTGCCATGGTCTCTAGTATGAATGAATCCTTTTTGAGTGATGTTCTGTGAGAATAAAAGCTCTGGCGCTCCTGTTTGAGTTAGTTGTTTGTTGGGGGGGGGGGGGGGTAATGATTTTTATTCAGTAATCCTCATGAAGCTAAAAATCGAATTTACTACTTGCAGCGTGACTTTTCTGCTGCTGTCATTTGTTCTTCCGACAAAAAGCCAAACTCTTCTATGTCACATGGAAATTGTGTCATGCCCTGCCCACCTTTGATTGGGACTGCCCACAGGAAGGAGAGGGCAGAGTGCGTCACAGCTAGTAGAAGCTATCCATTAGCAGTTGCAACTCCACAACATGGTGGACCACGCTCAGGCTTGTGTTATTTGTGGGGATAAAACTTCAACGTTGTTTGTTTTTTTTTTACCACAAAATGAGAGCAAATGAAAGGCACTTTTGGACTGAAGGAACCTTTCGTAGTTCTTAGAAACTTTTCAGGAACCAGCCTCCTTTTACGCGTTCGGACAGATGGGAACTCTGAACCCTTTCCCGTAGTTCCTAGAAACATTTTAGCTTCTATTCTGAGGCTAGGACTTCCCATTGTTCCTGAGGAACTAGCTTGTTGGTTGGTGAGCTACACCCCTTTGGTTTATTTCTGTCATGACTTGTGGAAGGCGTCTAACTCAAGACATTCAGAATCATCACGGGAGTCAGGAGGTAAGGACTTAGTCTATTTTGCAAAAACGGAAACCAAAGGATCACTGGAAATCCAGTGAATGAAGCAGTGAGGCGATAGTCCAGTGAATGATGCCGTGAGGCGATTGTTCAGAGTCCAAGCTCAGCGAGCTGTGGGGGAAGTGGTGGGTTGAGGTTAACGAGTGCGGAGACCCAGCCGGGCGGGAGGTGAGGCAGCGGAGAGGGGAGATACAGGAGCCGTGGAGGAGGATGGGACGTAGTATGAAGATCTGTGGTTCGTAGCAGAGTAGGTGATGGTAGTGGTGATAATCCAAAACGGGAGTAATCCGGCTTCGAGTGGTGTCTCCATCCTCCTTTTAAATCCGAGCTCCTAATGACAATTCGGCACAGCTGGTACCCCTCCGCTCCTCACCTGTGGAAAACAGAACCTCAAAGGTGGTTAATTGAGGAGGAGCACTCACCTCGGCACGAGAATCATGACAATACCCCCACCCCCCCTAACAGGCGCCCCAGTGGCGGTCCTAGAGGCCTCAAAGTCGGAGATGAGGGGGGGATCCTCGAACGACTGGGGGACCCATTAACGTTCCTCTGGGCCACACCCCTCCCAGTCCACCAGGTATTGCACTCCCCGGGGGCGAGAGTCGAGGATCCACAGAATCTGGTAGACCAGACCCCCCTTGTAGAACCGAGCAGGCGGCGGTGGGTCCGGGGTTGGACAGAGAGGGCTGGTGGCCACTGGCTTGACCAGGGACACATGAAATGTCAGATGGATACTGAGGGACCGTGGGAGTTCCAGACGAATGGTCACAGGACTGGGAACAGCCACAATTCTAAAAGGACCTAGGAGCCAGTTTTCTGGACGTGGCCTTGAGGGGCACATCTCTGGATGACAGCCAGACCATCTGTCCATGAGTGTAGACCGGCGCCGGGCGGCAATGCCGATCTGCCAACTGCTGGTTCCTTTCAGCAGTGCGCTGAAGAGCGGCCCTGGTGGCTGTCCAGGCTCGACGAGCCCGGCGAAGAAACTGTGGTGTAGTGGTGGTGGAGTCAGACTGGAGGGGAAACAGAGAGGGTTGGTAACTGAGGGAAGCTTCGAAGGGAGACTGACCTGTAGCTGCGGAGACGTGGCTGTTGTGGGCGTACTCCATCCAGGCCAGGTGGTTGCTCCAGGAGGCGGGGTTGGTAGCACACACACAATGAAGCATAGCTCCCAGCTCCTGATTCATGCGTTCGCATTGTCCATTGGTCTGCAGGTGGAATCCAGAGGTTAAAGATACACGGGCTCCCAGGGCATTGGAAAATTCCTTCCAGACCTTGGAAACGAACTGGGGGCCGCAGTCTTAGAGGATCTGCTCGGGAATTCCATGCAAACGAAACACTTGTTTTATCAGGAGCTGGGCAGTGATGGCAGAAGATGGGAGAGATTTCAGAGGTACAAGGTGGCAAACCTGGGAGAACCCATCTACTATTGTCAATATTGAATTGAACTCACGAGAGACGGGTAACTCACAAACAAAATCCATGGTGATGTGCGACCAGGGGCAAGACGGAACGGGAAGGGGACACAGTAGACCAGCAGGTGAGTGGTTGTTACCTTTGTGTTGGGCACAAACATGGCACGCCAAGACGTACTCCTTCACGCCTTTATAAATTGACAGCCAGCAGAAGGAGAGCTTTATGAGGGCCCAAAGCCCATCCTACACCAGGGTGAATGGCGAACCTTTCGGTATGACCCCAGTGGATAACCCTCCCTCGTACGACCTGAGGAACAAAAAGTCTGTTTGGGGGCCGTTACCTAGACCGGGATCGACCCTGAGGGTTTCCAGGACTCAGTCTCTGATCTCCCATGTGAGTCCTGCCACCATGCAAGATGGGGGCAGGATAGTAACCGGGCCGGGGTCGTCCTCAGGCGAGTGTTGACGGGAAAGGGCGTCTGGCTTGATGTTCTTGGACCCTGGCCGGTAGGAAATAACAAAGTTAAACCGAGTAAAGAAAAGTGACCAACGGTATTGGCGTGGGTTTAGCCGTTTTGCTTCCTTGAGGAAGGTTAAGTTCTGGTTGTTGGTCCAGATCACAAAGAGCTGTTCCTCCCCCTCCAGCCAGTGCCTCCATTCTTCGAGGGCCAGCTTTACTGCCAACAACTCTCGGTCCTCCATGTCGTACCGACTCCGTCGGCGTCAACCATCTAGAAAAGAAGGCGCAGGGATGGAGTTTATGGTCAACGGGAGATACCTGGGATAAAATGGCTCCAACCCCAGTGTCAGAAGCGTCCATCTCCAAAGTGAACTACTGGCTTGGATCCGGTCTGGTGAGAACTGGAGCCTCCGTGAACTTCTTTTGAGGGTACGGAAAGCCGCTTCAACTTCTGGAGACCAGGAGAAAGGTTTAGTGGTGGATGTGAGACAGGTTAAAGGAGCGGCTGTCTGGCTATAGTTACGTATAAACCGTCCATAAAAATTGGCAAAACCCAGGAACCATTGTAACTACTTCCTTGTGGTGGGCTTAGGTCAGTCCGCCACAGCCTGCACCTTATCAGGGTCCGCCTTTAACCGCCCGCTCTCCAGAACAAAACCTAAAAACTTAACCACAGAGACATGGAACTCACATTTTTCTGCTTTTACGTAGTCTGTTCTGTAGGAGACGTTGAAGCACAGCCCTGACATGCTTCTGTTGTTGGGTGATAGAGCTGGAAAAAATCAGGATATTGTCTAGATAGACGGTCACAAAGTCATTAATATGATCACCCAATACCGCGTTGACCAGTCTCTGAAAGACAGAAGGTTGGTGAGTCCAAAAGGCATCACCAGATACTTGAAATGCCCCAGTGGCGTCTTGAAGGAGGTCTTCCATTCATCCCCTTGGCGGATCCGAACCAGGTGGTAGGCATTTCGAAGGTCCAAACAGGTAAAAACTGGCGTCCTGGATGGGCTCGAAGGTGGAGGACAGCAGTGGGAGAGAGTACTTGTCCTTTACTGTGATCTGGTTTAGCCCTCTATAATCGATGCAGGGACGAAGAGAACTGTCCTTCTTTGCGACAAAGAAGAAGCCAGCACCCAAGGGAGATGTTGAGGGTCTGATGGTCCCGTTGGCCAAGGCCTCTGAGATGTAGCTCTCCATGCTGTTCCTCTCCAGCTTGGAGAGACTGTAGAGACGGCTGGAAGGCAGCGGAGCGCCGGGGAGCAAATCGATACCACAATCGAAAGGGCGGTGCAGAGGCAGCGTCGCTGCTCGGTCCCTGCTAAAAACCTGTTGCAGGTCGTGGTAGACTGCTGGTACTTGTGAGAGGTCAGGAGGCTCAACAGAGGTCGCGTCGGATCCCTTCGAGACTGGAGAAGCCGAGTTGAGACAACTCTGTTAGCACGTCGGACTCCAAGCCTCGATTCTGTTGTCTTGCCAATCTAGGTGCGGGTTGTGTTGTGCAAGCCAAGAGTGTCCTAGCACGAACGGGTTCTGAGGGGATGGAAACACAAAGAGTGAAATTGTCTCAATGTGATTACCTGAGGCTCTGAGCTGGAGCAGCGTAGTCCTGTGCGTGATGGTGGATAACGACCTTCTGTCTAGTGAGGAAACAGGCATGGGTTTTTGAAGAGGAACTGTGGGGATTTCCCAGTCTCAGAGCAGTGACCTGGTGGCGTTGACCCTCCCACATCACAGAGCAGGCGAGGGTGAACCGGGTGGTTGTATTTTCAATGTTGCTACCCACCAGTCCAAGGCTGGATTGACGGCGTGTGGAAAACGAAGATGGATCCATCGATGATGTCCCGTGAAGCTCTCAATGTCTCTTGTCGATTGAGACTGAGAGCGTAATAAGACCCTCCAGGGTGGACGACTCAGGACACAGAGCCAACTGGTTCTTCACTTTATCATTGAGCGCCTAAATAAAAGCTGCCTTTAAGGCGTCGTTGTTCCAAGTCGTCAATGTTCTAAATTCCAGTGCCATGTCAGCAACCGTTCGCCGCCCCTGGGAGAGGTGCAATAACCTTTTTCGTTTGTCAGTGACGGTCTCGGAACTACAAAAAGTCAATTTAAAATCATCCAGAAATTCCTCATAGGGGCCAGATAAAAACTTGGAGTTGCAACTCTTAGCCTCAGCCCATCTAAGAGCCTTGCCCCTTAGCAGCTCTACAATAAAAGAATTCTTAGCTGAATCCGAAGAAAAGGCACTTGGGAAGCGCTCAAAGGCCAGGCGACACTGCACCAGAAATCCAAATCCATCCTCGAATTCACCGGAAAACGTTGGACATGGCGGAGGCGGAGCTAGGCGGAAGTAGGTGAGTTCCGTAGGACCAGTAACTTCCAGTCTGGGCTGAACCACAGCCGCTGGGAACGGTGGCGATGGTTTCGGGACTGCTGATGGAGCCTGGGTGGGGGCTGGAGCTGGAGCTGGCAACCAATCGTGTAGTTGTTGAACCAGAGCCTCCAACTGCTGGTAGCGTTGATTGGCGACTGCCAGTTGATCAGTTAGGACGGGAAGAGTCTGTTCCTGCTGTGCCATCTGGGTAGCCAGGTCTGCCAGTGCTAATTCTGCTGGGTTAGCTTGTTGGCCGGATGATTCTGTCATGACTTGTGGAAGGCGTCTTACCCAAGACATGCAGAATCAACACGGGAGTTGGGAGGTAAGAAATTAGTCTTTTATTTTGCAAAAATGGAAACCAAAGGAGCACTGGAAATCCAGTGAATGATGCCGTGAGGCGATTGTTCAGAGTCCAAGCTCAGTGAGCTATGGGGGAAGTGGTGGGCCGAGGTGAACGAGTGCGGAGACCCAGCCGGGCGGGAGGTGAGGAAGCGGAGAGGGGAGATACAGGAGCTGTGGAGGAGGATGGGACATAGTATATGAATATCCGTGGTTCGTAGCAGAGTAGGTGATGGTAGTGGTGATAATCCAAAACTGGAGTAATCATCCGGCTTTGAGTGGTGTCTCCACCCTCCTTTTTAAACCCGAGCTCCTAATGACTTATTCGGCTCAGCTGGTACCCCTCCGCTCCTCACCTGTGGAAAACGGAACCTCAAAGGTGGTTAATTGAGGAGGAGCACTCACCTCGGCATGAGAATCATGACAATTTCTGCATCTTTTGTGTTCCGATTCGTGTTTATTTAGAAACCGACTGGGCTGCATCCCGTATACTCCTGCTGCCGCCAGCACACCTCCCCAAATCCAACAGGTAAAGAAAGCAGGTACATTACATTTACAGATGTTTCTCTTCTTTTGATATAACAGAAGTTTGCAACAGGAAATTGTCCATTTTGGGTTTAAATCAATAGCGATAGCTGCAGAGAGTGAGCATATGTTTGTACCAAATGAATATAATCATGTAGCTTTCTTTTTGGTGAATTTCTACTTTGTTCTTGGATTAGTCATCTCCCGACTCACTCTGCATGCTCTAGCAGCCTCGACGTGATACTTGTGATCTGATAGCTCATTACAGTATTCTCGTAAAGCATTTAATGAGCACTGGTGCCGTTAGCTTAGCTTCTTGGTGGTGTTATTCCGACACTTAAAGTTAACTGTCGGAGGCGGATTTGTTGTTCCCGCCTCTAAACGGTCTGAGGGTGCTGAAAGGGTTCCCCGAGGAAGGGTGTGAAAGCGCCTAAAGGCAGCAGAAGAGTCACAGTGCTGTTAGCCACCAGAGACAAGATCTTTGTTTGCCATGATTATTAATGAGTAAGAGTGATAATCCTGTCCTTTTCTGCCTCCTATCCTCTGACTAACTTCTACCTCCTGAAACAGGAGCACCAGAGGGTTTTATTTTCCCAGAGACAAACTCACCAGGCATTCACTCATTCATTCATTCATACGAGACCACAGCAGATTTACCGAAACAACAAATGAACAAGACCTCTAGGGGCCCAAACGAATATTTTTTAAATCAGAAACTAAAGTTTAACAAACAATTTCATGGAAAAAAATAAATAAGCAAAAATTATTTTAAAATGTAAGGTTATTTTAAAAACTAAAAAAGTACCAAAAGAGTCAAACAAAATGTAATGGAGAGCAGAAACTTTTAAAATGATTATCAGGCTTCATTAACATTTAGAAAGCCGAATTGTTGGTTTATTTCCTACATATTAAACTAAATATTTTTTGAGCATTTTTATTACATTTCACTTAACCCTTTGATGCATAATGATCACTACAGTGGACAGGTACTCAAAATTGTTATTTCTTTATTTTTGCTATTAAGCACAGCTGATGAAGACTTTATTGCATGTGAGCCCCTCCATTTGGACTTCAGTAAGTCAAGCCACCATATTTCATGTTCAGAATGCACGTTGTCCACTGAGATGGACATGTAATAAAGTATTTGTAAATTAACAAAATGGTACAAAAATATTTGTTGAAATTTGTTTCATTCACATCTAAAAATGAATGAAAAAAATTGTTTAAAAAATCATGGTTGAAGATCTCATAATTCATGCATCAGAGGGTTAAAAAGCACGTTAAACTCTATTCAGATTAACACGCGAGTGATTTATTACGTTTTTGACCATGTTTCTTCAAGTTTTTTAGCATCTTTATTGCATCATTAACATCTCTGTTGTGTTAAACTTTTAGATTTATTCTCAGTGTTTGACCTCATTGACCTTCATGGAAAGCCTGCGTTTTAGAGCTGTTGTGTGATTTTCAGCCTCCAAGCTGAGCTGGCAACAAACACTCTGGTTTAATCTGCAGGCAGGAAGCAGCTGACGAATGTGCTGAAAATCAGCCAAACAGCCTCTTTTACCTCCTGGAGGGATGTGAGCATCTCCCCAGAGAGCCGGGGCAGCAGAGGGCAGAGATACTCAGGAGCTGCTGATGTTCTGGGATAACTTTTAATGTTTGGGAGAAACTTAAATATTAAGCTATTCATGAGAACATCAATAGGAAGGTTTTTGTTGGGCGTTAACTTTGACTGTTTACTCTTCCAGTGAGGAAAAGGCAAGAAACCGGTTTTATTTTCTGAATAAAAATCACTCCGTTATAATTTCGCTTTTCCTAAATGGAGACTTCAAACTTCTAGTTTATAATGAAACTGGTTATTCTGCTCCCACTTGCTGTTCTGAGGGGAGATCAAACTCAAATATTAAAATTTTTGTTCTCTTTTTTCTTTTTGTTTTTTGCAGTGATGTCAGACCTGATTAGTCATGGAGATTACTGGGAGGGTGAGAATGGTTTTCAGGGATTGATGCCAGATTTGGAGGATTGTGAAGTCCTTCATTATGTAAAACGAGAGAAAAGAGTTGTTTTTGTCATCAAGTGGGATTCAGCACCACGGACAGCTCCACACTTTTCATTTCTTGTTTAAAAGCTTCTGACGCACAAACGGATGTAGAAACTTTGTTTCAGGTCAACTTTTAAAATTCAAACTACTTACATGTGACTTTACTTTCCCCTTATTTTCTGATTTAAACGTTTCATCTTGAAATACACTATCAAAAAACAAAAAAAGTTTGTTTTCCGTTTTCCTTTTTTATGTTGAAAATAGAAAAGCAAAAAATGAGTCGACTTCCGTTTACGTTATTTCGTTTTTTGATTGGTGATCGGCAAAACGGCTCGTTTCCCTTTGTTTCCCAAAGGAAAATCGTTTGGCTGTCATGTACACGGACCCTTTAGGTTACATGTAAGCAGGTTTTAGTCCGCACATCCAAATAAAAGTAATTTGTTTCCAGTTGATTCGATTTTTGTTTTATACTCGGGTGATGAAACGCATTCAGTGACTCGATGCAACCTGCTGGGTTCCTTATATAGGAAACTTTTTTCTGATTGGCTTAATGAACTGACCTGTATTGGAATGTTTATTATGTGAAGTGCCTTGAGACGACTCTTGTGATTTGGCGCTATATAAACAAACTTGAATTGAATTCAGCAGCAAAGTGTTAAAATGTGAGCTGCTACGCGTCATTTCAGTCGATTTATTTTCCTCTTCTTGCAGCTTTTGACTTGTTCTCCTCCTGTTTACAAGCCAGAGAGGATCTGAAACAAGTAAAACACAAAACCCGCTCCCGGAGTCCGTGCAGCTCTCGGGAGCGCGCGCGGCTGCGTCTCCGGAGTTGTCCACTTTCCAATACGCTCGTTACTTTCTTTGCACTGACGTCATAAGGAGCCGTTTGCATGTATAAAACCCTCCGGACCTTCTGCGGACTCCACTCACAGGACCTCCCAGACCCGGAACCGAACCGGAGACCGACCCTATCAGCTGCAGCAGCAGAGAGTAAAGCGAGTCCTGAGGGTTCAACAGGTGTTTTCTTTTCTCGAGCTGCTTTTATTTACCTGAAACCTCAAATCTGTTGTTTTTAAATACATTTCTTTTAACAGTAAATCTATTTTAAATTAATTTATTGCTTAAAATTCTTTTAAAGTGCAGAATTAGTAAGTTAAGAATATTTTTTTTTCTGTAAACCTCTTTAGCTGCTGGACATGAAGTCTGTCCCCCTCCTCCTGCTCCTCTTCTCGGTCCTCCTCTCATCACACCTCCGCCCCGCCGCCGGCAGACCGCGCTTCCTCCCGGGCAGGTTGGATGGCAGCGGTCGCCTCCAGGCGCAGCAGCTGGACGGAATGCTTCTCAAAGCGGACGCAGACGGAACCGCGTCGGAATTCCTGGGCGACAACGTCCTGAGGATCCTCCAGAGGAGAGACCCGGACCACCTCCACCTGCTGCCGGAGGAGGAGGGAGAGGAGGAGGTGCTGAGGGCCGCCGTGCAGCTGCTGAAGCGCAGCGAGGAGCCGCCGCTCTCTATCGACCTGACCTTCCACCTGCTGAGGAATATGATCCAGATGGCCAAGATGGAGAGCCAGCGGGAGCAGGCGCAGCTCAACCGCAAAGTCCTCGACGAGGTGGGAAAGTAACCTCCTGACCTCGTCCTCCAACAGCGCAGAACCTGTGAGATGAGCTCCAGTTCGCGCAACATTTTACGCACATGGTGCCATTTTACGCATCACATCAGTGTCTATCGTGTGTTATCTAAGAGACACCAGGGGAAAGGGTTTCCATCTCTCTCACCATCTCATCCCACAAACCAACAACTCTCGACCTGTGACGTCACAGCTAAACGGAAACCGTCAACGGTTTTAATGCTTCTGGACTTGCTCGTTTTTTAAATCATTTGTGCCTAAAGCGATCTGATGTGAGCATGAACGGTTTCAGTTTGACTTCCGGGCTGGGTGATCAAACAGAATTAAGACCCCCTGATTGGTTAAATGTGTTTATTATTAAAATCACTTCAGCAGCATAAGATAAGGTGATCTGAAACAACAAAACTGCATCTGAAGCTGCAGAAAAAAACAAACTTTCAGTTTTAACCCAAACTGAAGATCTTGGTGCTAAAGAAGCTCCTGATAAAGAATCTGTGTTTAAATGTGTGAATATTTAAACCTTGTGTTGTGATTGCAGCCCCCCAGATAAGGAACAGGTGGATGATCATCTCCACACCTTGCTGTTTGAGCAGATTCACCTGTACTGTAACAACTGTAGCATGCTGACCAACAAGAAAAGTACAAAAACAGTCTTTGCCTCACTTTTGTGTCTGTTGCATTTTCACTTTGTTTCAGCTAAATATTTAAAAAAGCCTTTTTGCCCTTTCTATTTTGTAATAAAAAAGTTTAATGCGAGAAAAATGTTGCTTTTGACTTATATTGTGCAAAGATTCATTGTTTTTGTTTGTGACTGAAGTCACGTGTTTTACCAGCATCATTCATCCATTCACTGCTTCATCCTCAAAGCACTTCCTGTTATGTCATAAATATGAACAATGACCCTTTTGACTTCCACACAAAAGGAAAAAAATGAACATTTATCCTGTTTATAAATGATTTTTGGGCAATAAAGCGATAATAGTGTAAATAACTTAAATTATTGGACATTTTTTATTTTAGAGTTTTTATTAGTTCAGTATTTTCTGGAGTTTCTGTTTTTTTTTTGTCATAAGAAAAATGTAAGAATGATTATTTTAATTGTAGGATAACGTAAATAATGTTTAACCTATTATTCAATCTTCTCCATAAATTCTGTTTTTTTATTTCAGTGATTTTTTTTCTGTACTCAAAGCTTCAGACTTAAACTCCAGCTGTTCTAGTTAACCTTCTGAGTACCACAAGAAAATAATTTTATTTTTTATTCATTTTTACACTTTTCTCTCTTAGATTTGGCACCGAGAATGAGAAAAATCTGAATTTTCTGGTTTAAAACCAACAAAGCAAACTTGATTCTGAGTTTCTGTTTTACTACATTAGAACATAAACTAGATTTTTGGTTTAAGTTTAGTGAATCTGATTAAACAAAGATTTAGTGTCATTTATTCTGATGAATCTCATCAAACGTTTCCAAGAGTCTCAGACAAGAATCAAAAGTCCTGCAGCTCCTCAGAGAAGTTTGGCTCTTCTTTCATGAACGACTTTTAATAATAACTTTTGTAAATAGCTGCTAGATGTCCTTCAGTCTAGATTTGTGTCTGACGACAGAAGCCTAAAACGAACCCACGCTGAGCCAGAAACAGAGCCCAAATGATGAAGGATGAATGGATCAATATGTGTTTTTGAGCCAGAAAACTCAAATTACACTTTTTCTTTTCTTTTTAGGGATCAATGTTGCGACGGCTGCAGGGTAAACATCATTAATCTGTCTGTGATGATACGTTCTGACCCATTTGGACCCAGAGAAGAACTGATGCTGCTGTCAAACCTGTGGTGATGAATGAAACAAGCGGCAACTTTTCTGACCTGATTTGACTTCCGATTGAGTTTAAACTCGAGATAATTTCCCTTCACTTGCTCCTTTATGGGTCTAAACTTTGGGTTTGGGTTCTGATAGTTAATCTTTGAGACTCAACTGCTCTTTTGCTTGTTGTAGTTTGTCTTCAGCCCAAGATTCACTAGTTTCTGCTCAATAGCTAAACAATGGCTGCATCCTGGTCCAGCTGCTTGCACTGTTGCCTCACAGCAAGAACGGTTGCAGGTTTGAATCCCAGCTGCAGCTTTACAGAGCATGTTCTCCTCGTGCATACATGACTTTTTTCTGGTTTCCACAGACCAAAAACGCATGTCGGGATGTTTTGTGTCACTTTGCTAAATGAATAAACTAAAACCCCCAAATTTCTGTATTTTATTTTGTGTTATCCCGTGTATTAATTCATCTCTGTATTTTGTAACAGCTGGCTCTGAGTGACAGGTTGTGGTTGTGTTGGGTAGCTCAGGCAGGAAGAGGACGGGTTGGAGCTCTGTGTGAAGGATCAGTTCCAGGTTGGTTTTTCATTTTTCAACTGTGAGAAGTTGGATTTAAAAGTGTCTGATATGAAAAAATCACAGATCAAATTAGTCAAGAAGTGTCAAAAATAACTTTACAAGGACTTGAAACGTCTGAAGTAGCAACAGAAACAACCGATGAACTGAGAGATTAGACCTGTTGGTGTACAGAGAGAGTGGGGGACTTGGTAAAGGTTTCAGAAAACCTACAGAGTCACTTAACAGTCAGTCACAAGTAATTAATAAAAGGCTTTACATAAATCTTTCTACTTCTAGGAGTCCAGTAGGTTCTGCCAACAAAGGTCTGGCGAGAGGCTGAGATCAGAGCTTCAGATAAACGTTTAGGCCTTGGAAGGTCAGGTCAAAGCTAGCTTGGGGCACGGGGTTGGGTTAGCATGCTGAGAGATCAGGGTTTGGTTCCTGAAGGATCTGTTTGTTTTACACCTTATATGAAACTTTCAGAATGTGAAAACTCCTAAACCACAGCTAACTGTAACCTGCCTCTGTAGCTCAGCCTGCAAGGCTTTAGGATGGTGTTCCAGTGGCTTGGCGTTCAGTCCCACAAGGAACTATTGCTTTTACATGTGATCAACATTATTCAAAGCACTCAAATCCTGTCTGAAGGATGTCCTCATCAGCCAACTGTGTAGCTCAGGCTGGAAGGCAGTGGCTTGGTTCTCAGAAGGCCCAAGGTTCAAACCCTGGGGTGCACACTCTAGTATTCAAACCAAAAACTTTTGGAGCACTGAGCTAGAAAGACTAAGTTGAAATGATCCACCAGAACGTGTCAGGTGTGAAAGGCGCTGGTGGCTCAGTCCCCGAGTTTCTCAGCAGTGAACGTGGAGGGTTATTGTGACCGAGGTGGCATCTGCCTGGAGTTTTGCTATGTTTGCTCCTTAGCTTAGACAAGTGACAACTAAGTAACTTACAAGACAACAAATTAAGTTACTTATCTACACTTATAAATTGTTAGCCAAGTGTAGATAAGTAACTTAATTTGTTGTCTAGTAAGTTACTTAGACTTAGTTGTCACTTGCTACATTGCGAACGTTAAGGCGCAAAGTTGGGATTAGCTTGACACACACACACACACGTTCGCACACTGGTGGTGATGAGCTACGATATGGCCACAGCTGCCCTGGGGAGCACTGACAGAGGCGACTAAGACTCCAACATTGTTGGATTCCTTGGTCGCGTTTAGCACCATTTGGCAGAGCATGGTGGAATCTGAAACATCTTCAGCTGAGTTTGTAAAATTTGAGTATTGTAAAAGTTTCTGTTCAACATGAATAAGAAGGGAAACATTTACCTGCATATATCACACAAACAGCTGTGGTGTTGTTATGTAAAACTGACGGTAGAGTGGTGGCATTGTGCTTTTGCTGTGAGTTCAGGACAAACGTGTAGAGTCAGACAGTTCATTCAGCTAAATAAATGAAATTTAAACATTTGTACAGATTCTTGAAAACCATTCTAACAATTTAATAAAAATGACAGAAAACTTAAAAAAGTCAAACGGCATCTTTAGCATTTACAGGAGTTACAGTTTTAGAGGCCTCCTCCTTGAACCGTCACCTTATCGCGGTGGAGGAGTTTGAGTGCCCTAATGATCCTAGGAGCTATGTTGTCTAGGGCACTTTGTGCCCCTGGTAGGGTCTCCCATGACAAATTGGTCTTAGGTGAAGGGTGAGACAAAGAACAGTTCAGATGATCTTTCATGGATGTAAATTCAAAGAGTCGGAGTACCCGGCCCGGAGGGTTAGTGGGGTCCCACCTTGGAGACAGGCCTGGGGTTGGGGCCTGTGAGCGAGTGCCTGGTGGCCGGGCTTTCGCCCATGGGGCCCGGCCAGGCCCAGCCCGAACCGGATACATGGGCTCATCCAACTGTGGACCCACCACCCGCAGGAGGAACATGAAGGGTCTGGTGTAATGTGGATCGGGTGGCAGACCGAGGCGGAAGCCTTGGCGGTCCGATCCCCGGACAAGAAAACTGGTTTTTGGGACATGGAACGTCACCTCGCTGGCGGGGAAGGAGCAGGAGCTTGTGGCAGAGGTTGAGCGGTACCGGCTAGATATAGTCGGACTCACCTCGACACATAGCATTGGCTCTGGAACCCAAGTCCTTGAGAGGGGTTGGACACTCTCCTTTGCTGGAGTTGCTCCGGGTGGGAGGCGGAGGGCTGGGGCTGGCTTTTTGTTCGCCCCAAGACTCTCTGCCTGTGTGTTGGGGTTTACCCCGGGGGACAAGAGGGTAGCTTCCCTGCGCCTTCGGGTCGGGGAACGGGTCCTGACTGTTGTTTGTGCTTATGGGCCAAATATCAGTTCAGAGTACCCACCCTTTTTGGAGTCCCTGGGACGAGTGCTAGATAGTGTTCCATCAGGGGACTCCATTGTCCTGCTGGGGGACTTCAATGCTCACGTGGGCAATGACAGCATGACCTGGAGGGGTGTGATTGGGAGGAACGGTCCGCCTGATCTGAACTCGAGTGGTGTTTCATTACTGGACTTCTGTGCAAGCCGCAGTTTGGCCATAACGAACACCATGTTCGAACATAAGGACGCCCATCGGTACACTTGGTACCAGGGCAGCCTAGGTCGCAGGTCGATGATAGACTTTGTAGTCGTATCATCTGACCTGCAGCCGTATGTTTTGGACACCCAAGTGAAGAGAGGAGCGGAGCTGTCAACTGATCACCACCTGGTGGTGAGTTGGATCAGATGGCAGGGGAAGATAACGCGTAGACCTGGCAGACCCAAACGCATAGTGAGGGTCTGCTGGGAACGCCTGGCAGAAGAACCTGTCAAGACGGTCTTCAACTCCCACCTCCGGCAGAGCTTTGACCGCATCCCGAGAACAGTGGGGGACATTGACTCCGAGTGGGCCTTGTTCCACTCTGCGATTGTTGAGGCGGCTGTTGCTAGCTGTGGTCGTAAGGTGGCCGGTGCCAGTCGTGGTGGCAACCCCCGTACCCGCTGGTGGACACCAGAGGTTCGGGGAGCCGTCAGTCTGAAGAAGGAGGCCTACAGGGCGTGGCTAGTCTGTGGGTCTCCAGAGGCAGCAGACAGGTACCGGATAGCCAAGCGGGGTGCAGCAGTGGCAGTTGCCGAGGCAAAATCTTGGGCGTGGGAGGAGTTTGGTGAGGCCATGGAGAAAGACTATCGATCGGCTCCAAAGAGGTTCTGGCAAACTGTCCGGCGCCTCAGGAGAGGAAGGCAGCAACTCGCTCACACTGTTTACAGTGGGGATGGGGAGCTGCTGACGTCAACTGGGGCTATAGTCGGACGGTGGAAGGAATACTTTGAGGAGCTCCTCAATCCCACCTATGCGCATTCCAAGGAGGAACCAGAGCCGGGAGACCTGGGGATGGACTGTCCGATCTCGGGGGCAGAAGTTGCTGAGGTAGTCAAACAACTACACAGCAGCGGAGCCCCGGGGGCGGATGAGGTTCGTCCTGGGTATCTCAAGGCTATGGATGTTGTAGGGCTGTCATGGTTGACACGTCTCTACAACATTGCGTGGTCATCGGGGGCAGTTCCTGTGAAGTGGCAGACCAGGGTGGTGGTCCCCATCTTTAAGAAGGGTGACCTGAGGGTGTGTTCCAACTTTAGGGAATCACACTCCTCAGCCTCCCTGGAAAGGTCTACGCCAGGGTACTGGAGAGGAGGGTCCGATCAATAGTTGAATCTCAGATTGAGGAGGAGCAATGTGGTTTTCGTCCTAGCCGTGGAACTGTGGACCAGCTCTATACCCTTGCAAGGGTGATGGAGGGGGCATGGGAGTTTGCCCAACCAATCCACATGTGTTTTGTGGATTTGGAGAAGGCTTATGACCGTGTCCCCAGGGGCACCCTGTGGGGGATGCTCCAGGAGTATGGGGTGGGTGGCTTTCTGTTAAGGGACATTCAGTCCTTTTACCAGAGGAGCGTGAGTTTGGTCCGCATAGCCGGTAGTAAGTCGGACCTGTTCCCAGTGAGGGTTGGACTCCGCCAGGGCTGCCCTTTGTCACCGTTCTGTTCATTATACCTTTATGGACAGAATTTCTAGGCGCAGCCGTGGTGTGGAGTGTGTCGAGTTTGGTGGCAGGAGAATCTCGTCTCTGCTTTTTGCGGATGATGTGGTCCTCCTAGCTTCATCCAGCTCTGACCTTCAGCTCTTGCTGGGTAGGTTCGCGGCCGAGTGTGAAGCGGCTGGGATGAGGATCAGCACCTCCAAATCTGAGACCATGGTTCTCGACCGGAAAAGGGTGGCTTGCCAACTCCGGGTTGGGGGAGAGGTCCTACCTCAAGTGGAGGAGTTTAAATATCTCGGGGTCTTGTTCACGAGTGAGGGTAGGAGGGATCGGGAGATCGACAGGCGGATTGGTTCAGCATCTGCAGTGATGCGGATGCTGAGCCGATCTGTCGTGGTGAAGAGGGAGCTGAGCCAGAAAGCCAGGCTCTCGATTTACCGGTCGATCTACGTCCCAATCCTCACCTATGGTCATGAGCTTTGGGTAATGACCGAAAGAACGAGATCACGGATACAAGCGGCCAAAATGAGTTTCCTCCATAGGGTGGCCGGGCTCAGACTTAGAGATAGGGTGAGGAGCTCGGACATTCGGGAGGGACTCGGAGTTGAACTGCTGCTCCTCCGGATCGAAAGGAGCCAGTTGAGGTGGTTTGGGTATCTGGTCAGGTTGCCTCCTGGACGCCTCCCTGGGGAGGTGTTTCGGGCATGTCCTGCCGGCAGGAGGCCCCCAGGTCGATCCAGGACACGTTGGAGAGGTTACATCTCCAATCTGGTCCGGGAACTCCTTGGGGTCCTGGCGGAGGAGCTGGTGGAGGTGGCCGGGGAGAGGACGGTCTGGAGCTCCCTAGTTGGGATGCTGCCCCTGCGACCTGGACCCGGATAAGCGGAGGAAGACGACGACGACGACAGTTAAAGAGGCACGCAGAGCTGGTTTTAGTCTGCTAACGGTAGTTAAAGGGGCCATGTCACTTTGTGGAGCTTTTTAACCACGTGATGTTGTTGTTTAGTCATGAAAAAACAAACACATTTTAACTGCATTCATGCATTTCCCTGTTTCAGCTGCAAACATTGACTTTTACTTTGAAAATCTCGTGAAGCGTCAATGGAAACTAGGCCCTGCTCCTCTACTGGAAGCTAGTCTCTGGTCTGAAACCTGTCTCCTCTGGTCAGTGGAGGATGTGTGTCGTAGGTGACTCGTGTCATGTAGCAGACTTGGTAGTCCAGAGATTAGAGTGCTAGTATCCTGGTCTGAGCAGTAACTCGCCAGTATGATGTTTTCAACCCTTTATTGGTAAACTGTTTACAAAGTAAGGACTAATCTGTGTTTTTATTTTGTTTATTTAGCTGGTGTGAGTCCGTGAGAGGTGAGCAGAGTAAATCAGCTCAAATGCTGCTTGGAAACGACCAGCTTCAAAGATCTTTACACAAAATAATTTACCAAAAAAAATCAACAAAACTAAAATATTAAAACATGAAATCTGCTTCAGCTGGCTACATAAGTTACTGCTGCCGCCACCGGGATTCAAACCCACGTCAGCACGCAGCGAAACTAGAATAAGAAGCTCACACTTGAACCCCTGGACTACCACAGCAGACATCACAGATGCTGTTGAAGGCACATCTTGGAAGCGCAGGTATGGGAGGAGCTTCACGGACACAAAGCTTTTTCCCGGGTATGCATTCAGGCTGACAGAAATAACTCATGTGAAAGATAAAAGGACATCTCAATAATAATATTTTATCATCCGCTGAGCTGACCTTTGCTCTATAGCGTGATGTGGGACCTTTAAGATGTGCTGAGGGAGTCTGCTGGATGAACCTCAGCTACAATCCCAGCCCTGCTTTACGTGCAGGAGCAGAAGTCCATGTTTCTCAGTGAGTCTGCGATGTCGTCCGTGTTGATGATGAAGTGGTCCATGCTCTCGTAACCGAGCTCCAGGCGCTCAAGGTTCCAGGTTCTCATCACCACTGACATCCTGTCAAAACACAGATTTCAAAATAAAACTCAAGCCCTGCAGCTGTTTAATATAAAAATGGGCTTAAACTTTAAACATTTTGTTTATTTTATTAGCCACTCTTGTTACTATAGCGATGTTTTAGGCTTTTGCACGATGAAAACTCAAATTAAACAATGAAAACCTCCACACTCGACTCATTACAGGTTATTTTTCTCTAAGATGAAACCGGTGTGGAACCCATAAATTCACTGATTAATAATAAATCTGTCAAAAGCCAATATTGACTCGATCCATCAGCCAGTGAACACACACAGATCCCCGGTCGTCCACACGAGGCGGCCGCCGATGGCAGAGCAGATTTGCTTGTTTTTTTATGTCAACAGTTGGATCTGTTCAATAATTCATCAGAGGTGACACGTGTGAGAGCTGATGACTGGGCAGGTTTACTCAGTGCCAAAGCTGCAGCAACTAAAACCACAATCACCTTCAAGCTTTTCAGCTGAAGGTCAGATGAAATGGTGCGGTTCTAAATCACAGGAAATCTGCTTTAATAAACCAGTTTTTAAAAATCTGCGTGCAGACATGCTTTGGTGTTTATGATGCTAATTGATGGCCTCCATCGAAAAAAATGTGTACAGGAAGTGAAATACCTCCGAATGAGAGCCTCGCACCACACACACTCACCGTTCCAGCAGGACATCGGAGATCTGTGGATGGAGGAGAAGATTCCTTCAGTTATCTGTGTGAGCCACACCTGTAAGCTCTCCCCAACCCTCAACGGTTCGTGTGCGCCGAGTTCCCCAGGAGTTCCCAGCTTCATGAGGGTTAGGGTTTGACATTTACACACGTGTGAGCACACACCTCATACTTTACAGGTCTCGTTCACTAATGTCTGTTCTTGTAGAAACCTGATCTGTCGTGGTGAGTTGCACGTGCACGCTGAACGTTTTCCTCTACCCTAGTCACCTGCATCAGCAGCGGGGCAACAGTCGGGTCAGAGAAAGCCAATCTCTTCTATGTCACAGGGAAAATTCATATTCGTGATCCCGCCCACCTTGGTTTAGAACCACCCACAGGAAGGAGACAGCAGAGCGTCTCGGCGAGTAGAAGCTAACCGTTAGCATTAGCTAATCCAAGCATGACGGAACACGTTCAGCTTTGTGTTGGTGGAGACGTAACGTGAACGCTGCATTTTTACCAAAGAGCGAACAGAGGAAGAGTCACGTTGCTGTTAGCCAATCAGAGGCGAGACGTTTGAATATCATGAATATTAATAAGCTAAACTCATAACTTCTTTTCCTCCTTCTCTTTCAGTCTGAAATAAAACAAATAAGAGCATGATTTGTTTCCTCTCTGCACCTGATTCATGATGCAACAGGTGTGTTCCTCACCTGGATGAACGAAGCCATGTGAGGCTCGTCCATGGATCGAACGGCCGTCTCCACCAGTGCCACGGCGGTCTCCAGGTGGTCGCTGTGCCAGCTGATGAGGGATCGCACATGATTCAGTTTGTCATCCTGATGTTTGCTGATGAATCCAATCAGCTCGTGCTTTCTCTCCTCCAACGTCGCCATCAGGTCGTCGATTTGGTCAGCCAGGTTCTCCCTCTGTCTGTGAGCATTCTCCTGAAGGGAAAACGCAGACGAAGGACCTGAAAATGTACTTGACCACATGCAGAACATGTGGGTAGGATCAGTTAGGTAACAGGAAGGGGGGGTGGGGGGGGGGGGTGTTTGTGGGTGTCACCTCGATGCTGCGGCAGATTTCCTCCATCTGACAGATGGCCGCCTGGACTTGGTCGTTACTGGCAACCAAGACAGCAATCCCGTCACTCAGCTCCACCTGCACAGAGTCAACAAAGTAAAGTTCTCCCATGAGAACCGAAACTCTACCAAACCTGGTTGTTTTCTCTGTTTTTAATATTAACTTTATCTGTTTTAATAAAAAATGCTGGTTTGAGAACCTCAACATTTAATCTCTGTGGTTCTGGGTTGGTCAGCTCCTCCAGGTCCGAGGTTCTGGATCTCCACCCGGAGAAGTTGGGTTTCTTCCTCTGTGTTTGGAACAGGTCATTGCCTCTATGAAGGAGTTAAAGTATCTTGCTCCTGAGTGATGGAGGAGAGCAGACCCCTGATTTGATCTGTTGTGTCCGTCATCATGACGAAAAAAAAAACAAGATCCTGGATGGAAGACACCAGGATGAGTTTCCTTAGCTGCTCCTCCTCATCGGAGAGTCAGCTGAGGTGTTTGGGGCATGGATGGTTCTTGCTCGTCTTCCTCTGGAGGGTTTCTGGGCCCCTGGGAGGACAGCCTGAGGCAGACCTGGACCTTACCAGCAGGATTATAAATCCTCTCTCCTGGAAACATCTTGGAATTCTTCAGAAAGACCAGAAAGGGAAGTCTGGGTCAACCCAGCCTTGGACAACTTGTGGAAAACGGATAGAAATCACAACTTCCTTTCCAGTTTTGGTCATTTGTATAATTAAAACATTTTTATATACTTGTTTATAAATGATTGATTTCCTGATTGCAAGATTGTTGTTGTTTTTTATTTTTTTATTTACTTTCACACACACACACACACACACACACACAAGACTAAATTCCACAAAATGTTTTACTTCCCCATTTCAAATTTTGACAAATCTGCAAAATAAATAATTAAATTAAATTAATCATTCATTTATATGCTTCCACTACTTAGTTAAAATAAAATAAAATAAAATAAAATATAATAAAATAAATCATTCATTTATATTAGCCTCCACGACTTAGTCTGGTTTTTAATTAGAAGCAAGTAAATTCCATCTTTCAGTTCTTTTTAAAACACAGAAAAGGTTTATTTACCTGCAACGTTTCGTTTGCGGCTGCAAACATCATCAGGTAAACGTTTTGTGTGTTTTAAAAAGAACTGAAAGATGGAATTTGAAACTCAACGCAGCAAGAACACCCCAGAGAAGCAAGTCAAGTTTAAAAATGTGATTTCAATAATCATTTCTTGTATTTATATATAAAATCTGTGTTTACAGCCACAGCGGCCGACCTACATGAAGTAAATTGAGTTTATCTAACATCAAAATCATGAATGAGCTGAAAAACAACATAAATCGTTTTACAGAACATGAAATGAAGCCTCACAGTCGACCAATAATCGTCATCATCATCGTCGTCGTCTCTGATCCACATCCGATTCAAAAGCTCTTTATTACTTATCAGAAGACCAGATCCAACACAGACGACGGCCCTCTGACTGAGTCACCAGCGTTTCATCAGCCTCCAGTGTCTTCAGCTGGTTTCATCTACAGCTGACGCGCTGCTGGTGGAAGAAACATTCACACTTCGGATCGGGCCAAATGAAATCACCAAACTGTGGTTGCTAGCTCTGCTCACGGCTGCAGAATCAACAAGCGTCTCATCTGCATTTCAGATGAGTGATTCAGAGACGGAGTGAGAGATGGCGATCCGGGCGCTGAAATGTCAACAAACCAGCTGCTCGATAACGATGCTGCTGCCGCCGTCGTCTGCTGGTGCTCTTTGTCTTTCGGGGGTTTCTGGGTCAAAATTTCAGTGAAATCTAGAACGTTAAAGGCAGAGAGGATGGTGCTTTCTGGAGCATGCTTGAAATGCTACTCATACAACAAACAACACTTTTTTTTAAATGAATCACTTTGATGGCTTCTGAAAGTCCAATCTTGCTAAAACCTCATCCAATCATCGTGAACGTCCCGTTCTTAACACCTGGATCCTGATCCATCCATCAAACTGCCCTCCGACCGTCCCTCCACCCTCTTTGTGCTTGAATTTCTCATTTTCAACTCGGAGCAGCTGACCAGGAAGGGAATCCAGAAGCGGGTTGCATAATGTAACAGTCAGAATGTTCTGTTTGCAGATTTCATTTAAGGAATTATTTTAATTGTTCCGATTGGAGTCCGGTTCTGCTGTCGGGAAACATTTAGGTGATGGACCTGTTGTCTATGAACGCAGCTTGCTGAGCTGTTGTCTTGGCAACGTGCATGTGTGTGTGTGTGTGTGTGTGTGTGTGTGTGTGTGTGTGTGTGTGTGTGTGTGTGTGTGTGTGTGTGTGTGTGTGTGTGTGTGTGTGTGTGTGTGTGTGTGTGTGTGTGTGTGTGTGTGTGTGTGTGTGTTATGGGGAACTGAGAGGAGAGTGAGTCTAAGGAGGTTCGGGCCCGGTTCTGGAAGTTCTCCTTGGGTTCTCTGTGGGTTTTCCCAGATTGTTGATGGCACTGAGCTGCTGATTTTGAAGCTGTGGGCTTTTGCACTCGCTTGTCCCTCAATTAGGAGACATTCGTGGTCGAAGGGTTAATAACAAACCAAGGCAGCTCTTGATGCACCATTTTCCATGACCACCAGATTCCGTGACTGGGGTGGAGCCTGAAGAAACAGGGGCGTGTCCAGATCTTTTAAAATGGGGTGGCCCAGGTGAGGCACAACTTTGTGCATGGGTGGCACCAATGGTTATGCTTTTTTTGTTTTGCCCCCAAGCCTTTTGTGGACTATGAAAAGCCTATTTAAAGGTGAACTAGTGTGGTGGCACCTGGGGTGGCCAATCAGATTCCAAGGGCGGCATGTGCTACCCCAGGCCACTCCCTGGACACGCCCCTGTGAAGAAAGGGGGCTGGACTTTGACTTGTTTTTTTTCTGTACATGTAGTTTGCTAGAAAGGCTCCTTCCGAAGATGTCCACTCCACCTTTAAGCTTTGATGTTGCAAACAGAACATTGTCTTTGGGGACACGAGAGAGCCATCCGCATCAGGAATCATCTCTGGTTGTTTTGTGAAGAGATACTCTTCAAACGGGAGGAGAAATAAAATAGGAAGAGGAGGAAAACAAAGGTCACCGTCTCCTTCTGAGGAGACACTTAAATAAACTCTGTTGCAATTTAACCTTTAAACCAAGCCTCAGCTTTAGCTTGGTGGTGAAACATCTGCAGAGACGTGTCCTCTGGAGTTGTTTACCTTCTGTCTCGTGTAGATGCTGCTGAGCGGGGCCACCTCGCAGTCCTTGTGTTGTCCGAACACTTTGCACATGGAGCAGGTGGGTGTCTGGCAGGACAGGCAGTAGATGTTGATCTTCTCCTTTCCGTGTTCTTCACACATCAGCTGCTGCTGTTTCATGTCCACAGACCTGCAGGAGACGAACCAGACAGGAACATCTAGATCAGGGGTCTGTAACCTTTAAGATCCAGGAGGCCATTTTTCTCCTCAGGCGCCTGAAGAAATCAGAACTGCAACTGCTGCAGGAACTTCAGAAAGAGACTTTTTAGTGATTATCTGTAGAACAGGATCATCTTTTTTTCTTCTCAGATTTCTGAGAATAATGTGAGTAATCTCAGATTAAAATCAGAATTCAGACTGTTTTTCTGGGATTAATATATATATATATATATATATATATATATATATATATATATATTTACTTTTATTGGTAAATTTGCCTTTCAGTACAACACTCTCTGTCTTCTGCCCACCGCGGCGTCGGGATGACAGAATAAGAGGGTTCTTCCATCACCCACAACAAGGCCCCTCCCATAAACTGGTCTTCGTTTAAACACAAAAAAGGTTTTCTGAGCTGGAGATGCAAAAACAACATTTCTGGTTTTGACATTTTTTCCTTTTGAAAGAAATTATTTGATTTGTAGTTCAGATTTTAATTACAGATCAAATTTACTCATATTTTATTACTTTTGCAGTGGAGGGAAAAAAGCTCCGGTGAGCCTGTTTGAGGATGAAGAAGTCAAGTCAACTAGAGGAGACATCTGGAGCCTTATTTCCTGATATCTGGACATCTCTCCTCTGATTGGCTAACAGCAACGTGACTCTGTTTGCTCTCCAACGTTGATGTTTTATGTCCACAAATGACACAAGCCTGGAGGAGTTCTGCTGTGTGGTGGAGCTGCTAATGCTAACAGTTAGCTTCTACTAGCTGTTTCCTGGACGCTAAATCAACAGCAGCCTTCCCCGTCGTGAGCTAAGATGGGTGAGTCTATGAATAAGTGACAGTGTGACGTAGATCTGTCAGGATTTTCTAATCCTAGAGATTCACCATCTATTTTCTATCAGAAGCTAATGCAGGAGATAGGTGTAGGAGACTATTTTCATGTTCAGCCTGCATGAAACACTCAGAGTGACCCGTTAGAATCAGACATAATAATTTAAACATGGTTTTTCAGGTTTTGGGTGAAATCATTTTGAAGCAGTTTTTATTGATGACTCCATATTGATCCAGCCGTAGAAGCTGGACGTCTGAAGCTAACGGACAAGAGTTCTGCTCCAGTCAGTCGGATCTGACGACTCTCAAGAGTCCAAAAGAGGTTCAGTTCTCATCATATCAACCAAAAACTAAACGTTGCACAGGAAAACAATCAGATCTTCCTAAAGTAAAGTGTTCCACAAACCCCTTCAAGTCTATTTTTACCACTTCAGCTTAAAGGAAACTTGGCCTGTTTTTATTCTGATTTCTGAACACAAGCTGTAAAGCGTCCACAATCACTGGCAGGAGGACCTGGCACCATCTTCTGTATTATTCGACGGGATTAGCTTATATTTCTGTTATCACTGACGTGTTTTAACGTCAGCGGATGATGACAGAGTCACACACAGGGTCGAAGCGGAAACAACAGCTGGTTCTGTTGATTAGCTGGCTGATAAACTGTCTGGTGTTTGATTTGAACTCATGCAGAAAAAAAGGAGAAAAAACAGTTAAATTAGAAGTTGAAAGAATATTTGTGAACAAGCGGGTCTATTTTAGCGCTCAGATGAAGAAAGCCAACATTTTCTGATTAAATAACTCATTTTGTTCCTAATCTGGTGTGAAAGTGAAAAATTTACTCTGAGGATGACTTAAGCATCACTGTAAGTGATAAACCTCAGACTGAAGGAACTAAACTTCTGAGGACAAAACTTTTAGTTAACTGAATAAAACTTATTAAATTAAATGGGCTGCATGGTGGCACAGTGGTTAGCACTGTTGCCTCGCAGTACGAAGGTTGCAGGTTCAAAACTCGGCTGCGGCCTTTCTGCGTGGAGTTGCGTGTTCTCCCCATGCATGTGTGGGTTTCCTCCGGGTTCTCCAGTTTCCCCCACAGATCACAACATGCCCTATAGGTTAACTGTTGTACGTCGCTTTGGATAAAAGCATCTGCCAAATGAATAAACATAAACATAAATTCTGCATAAATGAGATGAAGAACAAGTTATTTGACAGAATTAAAATCCCTGGTCACAATAAAATGAGATATAACCAAAATTAGAAGATTAAATGTTTATTTTTACTTTATAATGTAATGTAAGGAGCTGAAAAATAATAAATTACATTTTAAATAAAACAACTTGTTTTAGTACTTGTTCATCCCTCTATATTTTATGTCTGTCTGGGGTTTTAGAAGAGATCCACTTGCCACGTAACTAAGAAGTCAGTTTGTTTTATTTATTTGCTGAAATCTCATTTTGAGCTGTGAAAATGTGTCACACAAGAGGAAAGAAATCTCATACGGGAAAAGTCACAGTGATGCAACTATAAACAAAGCAACATTTAAAATGAATTATTTATAATTATTTAAATGACTTTCTGGCTCTTTTGTATTTTTCATCATTTTCAGTGAAAACCACAAGGAAAGACTGTGGAAATCAATGTTTTACTGTCCTCTAGTGGTCATTTTCTGTTACTGTTATTGCTGATGAAGTAAGAAGAAATAAAAACACACAAAAATACAAGTTTATAAAAATAATTAAAAATTAACCAGTGGAAAAAAAATCCAATAAAAATAAATAAATATAAAATAGATTAATATACAGAAAAAAATCTTGTCACATTTTGAATACCCCCCTAAAAACCTTATTGGGTGTTAATAACTTTTTATGAGTGGTAGTAGTAGTAGTAGTAGTAGTAGTAGTAGTAGTAGTAGTAGTAGCGGTGGTAGTAGTAGTGGTAGTAGTAGTAGTAGTAGTGGTGGTAGTAGTAGTAGTAGTAGTGGTGGTGGTAGTAGTAATGGTAGTAGTAGTAGTAGTAGTAGTAGTAGTAGTAGTAGTAGTACTGGTAGTAGTAGTAGTAGTAGTAGTGGTGGTGGTAGTAGTAATGGTAGTAGTAGTAGTGGTGGTAGTAGTAGTAGTAGTAGAAGTAGTACTGGTAGTAGTAGTAGTGGTAGTGGTGGTAGTAGTAGTAGTAGTGGTGGTAGTAGTAGTAGTAGTAGTAGTGGTGGTAGAAGTAGTAGTAGTAGTAGTAGTAGAGGTGGTGGTAGTAGTAATGGTAGTAGTAGTAGTAGTAGTACTGGTAGTAGTAGTAGAAGTAGTACTGTTAGTAGTAGTAGTGGTAGTGGTGGTAGTAGTAGTAGTAGTAGTAGTGGTAGTAGTAGTAGTGGTAGTAGTAGTAGTAGTAGTGGTGGTAGTAGTAGTAGTAGTAGTAGTAGTAGTAGTAGTGGTGGTGGTAGTAGTAATGGTAGTAGTAGTAGTAGTAGTAGTAGTAGTAGTACTGGTAGTAGTAGTAGTAGTAGTAGTGGTGGTAGTAGTAGTAGTAGTAGTGGTGGTGGTAGTAGTAATGGTAGTAGTAGTAGTAGTAGTAGTAGTAGTACTGGTAGTAGTAGTAGTAGTAGTAGTAGTGGTGGTGGTAGTAGTAATGGTAGTAGTAGTAGTGGTGGTAGTAGTAGTAGTAGTAGAAGTAGTACTGGTAGTAGTAGTAGTGGTAGTGGTGGTAGTAGTAGTAGTAGTGGTGGTAGTAGTAGTAGTAGTAGTAGTGGTGGTAGTAGTAGTAGTAGTAGTAGTAGTAGAGGTGGTGGTAGTAGTAATGGTAGTAGTAGTAGTAGTAGTACTGGTAGTAGTAGTAGAAGTAGTACTGTTAGTAGTAGTAGTGGTAGTGGTGGTAGTAGTAGTAGTAGTAGTAGTAGTGGTAGTAGTAGTAGTGGTAGTAGTAGTAGTAGTAGTGGTGGTAGTAGTAGTAGTAGTAGTAGTAGTGGTGGTGGTGGTAGTAGTAATGGTAGTAGTAGTAGTAGTAGTAGTAGTAGTAGTACTGGTAGTAGTAGTAGTAGTAGTAGTGGTGGTGGTGGTAGTAGTAATGGTAGTAGTAGTAGTGGTAGTAGTAGTAGTAGTAGTAGTAGTAGTAGTGGTAGTAGTAGTAGTAGTAGTAGTAGTGGTGGTAGTAGTAATGGTAGTAGTAGTAGTGGTAGTAGTAGTAGTAGTAGTAGTAGTAGTAGTAGTAGTAGTGGTAGTAGTAGTGGTAGTAGTAGTGGTAGTAGTAGTGGTGGTGGTAGTAGTAATGGTAGTAGTGGTAGTAGTAGTAGTAGTAGTAGTAGTAGTAGTAGTAGTAGTAGTAGTGGTGGTAGTAGTAGTGGTAGTAGTAGTGGTGGTGGTAGTAGTAATGGTAGTAGTAGTAGTGGTAGTAGTAGTAGTAGTAGTAGTAGTAGTAGTAGTAGTGGTAGTAGTAGTGGTAGTGGTGGTGGTAGTGGTGGTAGTAGTAGTGGTGGTGGTAGTAGTAATGGTAGTAGTAGTAGTAGTAGTAGTAGTAGTAGTAGTAGTAGTAGTGGTAGTAGTAGTGGTGGTGGTAGTAGTAATGGTAGTAGTAGTAGTGGTAGTAGTAGTAGTAGTAGTAGTAGTAGTGGTAGTAGTAGTGGTAGTGGTGGTAGTAGTAGTGGTAGTAGTAGTGGTGGTGGTAGTAGTAATGGTAGTAGTAGTAGTAGTAGTAGTAGTAGTAGTAGTAGTAGTAGTAGTAGTGGTAGTAGTAGTGGTAGTGGTGGTGGTAGTGGTGGTAGTAATTTTCACCTTTTCTTAATTTTTTATTCTTTATGTCCTTTTAAATAAATGGCAAATAATTTTACTTCGTTTTTGTTAAATGGCCTCACTTTCATGGCGGTTAAAACGAAGAGTCGGAGTACCCGGCCCGGAGGGTTACCGGGGTCCCACCCTGGAGCCAGGCCTGGGGTTGGGGCCCGTGAGCGAGCGCCTGGTGGCCGGGCTTTCGCCCATGGGGCCCGGCCGGGCCCAGCCCGAACCGGATACATGGGCTCGTCCAACTGTGGACCCACCACCCGCAGGAGGAACATGAAGGGTCCGGTGCAATGCAAATCGGGTGGCAGACCAAGGCGGGAGCCTTGGCGGTCCAATCCCCGGACAAGAAAACTAGTTTTTGGGACATGGAACGTCACCTCGCTGGCGGGGAAGGAGCCGGAGCTTGTGGCAGAGGTTGAGCGGTACCGGCTAGATATAGTCGGACTCACCTCGACACATTGCATTGGCTCTGGAACCCGAGACCTGGAGAGGGGTTGGACACTCTACTTTGCTGGAGTTGCTCCGGGTGAGAGGCGGAGGGCTGGGGTTGGCTTTTTGTTAGCCCCGAGACTCTCTGCCTGTGTGTTGGGGTTTACCCCGGGGGACAAGAGGGTAGCTTCCTTGCGCCTTCGGGTCGGGGAACGGGTCCTGACTGTTGTTTGTGCTTATGGGCCAAATATCAGTTCAGAGTACCCACCCTTTTTGGAGTCCCTGGGACGAGTGCTAGATAGTGCTCCATCAGGGGACTCCATTGTCCTGCTGGGGGACTTCAATGCTCACATGGGCAATGACAACATGACCTGGAGGGGTGTGATTGGGAGGAACGGCCCACCTAATCTGAACTCGAGCGGTGTTTTGTTATTGGACTTCTGTGCAAGCCGCAGTTTGGCCATAACGAACACCATGTTCGAACATAAGGATGCCCACCGGTACACTTGGTACCAGGGCAGCCTAGGTCACAGGTCGATGATAGATTTTGTAGTCGTATCATCTGACCTGCGGCCGTATGTTTTGGACACCCGAGTGAAGAGAGGGGCGGAGCTGTCAACTGATCACCACCTGGTGGTGAGTTGGATCAGATGGCAAGGGAACATGCCGCGTAGACCTGGAAGACCCAAACGCATAGTAAGGGTCTGCTGGGAACGCCTGGCAGAAGAACCTGTCAAGACGGTCTTCAACTCCCACCTCCGGCAGAGCTTTGACCACGTCCCGAGAGCAGTGGGGGACATTGAGTCCGAGTGGGCTCCCTAGTTGGGATGCTGCCCCCGCGACCCGGACCCGGATAAGCGGAGGAAGACGAGACGAGACGAGACGAGACGACGAGGCCTCACTTTGATTTAATGCTGAATATAAAATGCTTCAGTTTAATTAAACCAACGTTTAGCATAAGAGCAGAAAATAAAACATTAATTCAAATAAAAGTTTATAGATGTTTCTTCCGGACTGACTGAATTTATGAGTTTTGCATCATTTTCACAAAGTGATAGAAACATTTGGCCATTTGTGGTTTTACAGCTACCTGTGATCTAAGCCCTTCCTACTCCTCACTCATTCACTCACCTGGAGGACTCCTGTTGTCTGTAGATGTCGATGATGTTCTCCACCAGCAGGTTCCTCTGCAGGCCGAAGACCCCGTGGCGGTCCAGGACCACCTCATGACGGCATGATGGACAGCGGAAGCGTCCGCTGCTGGAGGAGCCTCGAGGCTGCCACAGAGGGTTGGTGGCCTGGTTGAAGACAAAAACTGGTTTTCTTGGATTTTTGTTAAAAGACATTTTATCATTTATCTTAATGATAAACAGGAGGCTGTTTAATGGGTTGAGGTTAGTCAGCTGGAGTCATTTTTAAAACGATTATTCTCAGGAACATCTTATACGCTTTCTAAGTTTATTACATCGACATATGTCGATGTAATAATAAACATATATATATATATATATATATATATATATATATATATATATGTATATATATATTTATTATAACAAATAATTTAGGCCGCGTAGACCTGGCAGACCCAAACGCATAGTGAGGGTCTGCTGGGAACGCCTGGCAGAAGAACCTGTCAAGACGGTCTTCAACTCCCACCTCCGGCAGAGCTTTGACCGCATCCCGAGAGCAGTGGGGGACATTGAGTCCGAGTGGGCCTTGTTCCACTCTGCGATTGTCGAGGCGGCTGTTGCTAGCTGTGGCCGTAAGGTGGCCGGTGCCAGTCGTGGTGGCAACCCCCGTACCCGCTGGTGGACACCAGAGGTTCGGGGAGCCGTCAGGCTGAAGAAGGAGGCCTACAGGGCGTGGCTGGTCTGTGGGTCTCCGGAGGCAGCAGACAGGTACCGGATAGCCAAGCGGGGTGCAGCAGTGGCAGTTGCCGAGGCAAAATCTCGGGCGTGGGAGGAGTTTGGTGAGGCCATGGAGAAAGACTATCGATCGGCTCCAAAGAGGTTCTGGCAAACTGTCCGGCGCCTCAGGAGAGGAAGGCAGCAACTCGCTCACACTGTTTACAGTGGGGATGGGGAGCTGCTGACGTCAACTGAGGCTATAGTCGGACGGTGGAAGGAATACTTTGAGGAGCTCCTCAATCCCACCAATGCGCATTCCGAGGAGGAACCAGAGCTGGGAGGCCTGGGGATGGACTGTCCGATCTCGGGGGCAGAAGTTGCTGAGGTAGTCAAACAACTACACAGCGGCGGAGCCCCGGGGGCGGATGAGGTTCGTCCTGGGTATCTCAAGGCTATGGATGTTGTAGGGCTGTCATGGTTGACACGTCTCTACAACATTGCGTGGTCATCGGGGGCAGTTCCTAGGGAGTGGCAGACCGGGGTGGTGGTCCCCATCTTTAAGAAGGGTGACCTGAGGGTGTGTTCCAACTATAGGGGGATCACACTCCTCAGCCTCCCTGGAAAGGTCTACTCCAAGGTACTGGAGAGGAGGGTCCGATCGATAGTTGAATCTCAGATAGAGGAGGAGCAATGTGGTTTTCGTCCTGGCCGTGGAACTGTGGACCAGCTCTATACCCTTGCAAGGGTGATGGAGGGGGCATGGGAGTTTGCCCAACCAATCCACATGTGTTTTGTGGATTTGGAGAAGGCTTATGACCGTGTCCCCAGGGGCACCCTGTGGGGGACGCTCCAGGAGTATGGGGTGGGTGGCTTTCTGTTAAGGGCCATTCAGTCCCTTTACCAGAGGAGCGTGAGTTTGGTCCGCATAGCCGGTAGTAAGTCGGACCTGTTCCCAGTGAGGGTTGGACTCCGCCAGGGCTGCCCTTTGTCACCGGTTCTGTTCATCACTTTTATGGACAGAATTTCTAGATGCAGCCGTGGTGTGGAGTGTGTCGAGTTTGGTGGCAGGAGAATCTCGTCTCTGCTTTTTGCGGATGATGTGGTCCTCCTAGCTTCATCCAGCTCTGACCTTCAGCTCTTGCTGGGTAGGTTCGTGGCCGAATGTGAAGCGGCTGGGATGAGGATCAGCACCTCCAAATCTGAGACCATGGTTTTCGACCGGAAAAGGGTGGCTTGCCACCTCCGGGTCGGGGGAGAGGTCCTACCTCAAGTGGAGGAGTTTAAGTATCTCGGGGTCTTGTTCACGAGTGAGGGTAGGAGGGATCGGGAGATCGACAGGCGGATTGGTTCGGCGTCTGCAGTGATGCGGACGCTGAGCCGATCTGTCGTGGGGAAGAGGGAGCTGAGCCAGAAAGCCAGGCTCTTGATTTACCGGTCGATCTACGTCCCAATCCTCACCTATGGTCATGAGCTTTGGGTAATGACCGAAAGAACGAGATCGCGGATACAAGCGGCCGAAATGAGTTTCCTCCGTAGGGTGGCCGGGCTCAGCCTTAGAGATAGGGTGAGGAGCTCGGACATTCGGGAGGGACTCGGAGTAGAACCGCTGCTCCTCCGGATCGAAAGGAGCCAGTTGAGGTGGTTTGGGCATCTGGTCAGGATGCCTCCTGGACGCCTCCCCGGGGAGGTGTTTCGGGCATGTCCTGCCGGCAGAAGGCCCCCGGGTCGACCCAGGACACGTTGGAGAGGTTACATCTCCAATCTGGTCCGGGAACGCCTTGGGGTCCTGCCGGAGGAGCTGGTGGACAAGGCCGGGGAGAGGACGGCCTGGAGCTCCCTAGTTGGGATGCTGCCCCCGCGACCCGGACCCGGATAAGCGGAGGAAGACGAGACGAGACAAATAATTTATCTTTGAATTATAAAATGAAAACAATTAAAGGAGCACTGGAGGACTAATTCAAACGCTTTCAAGGTGATTTTAAAAAAGTGTTTCAAATAGTGATCTGACTTTTTCACCACAACAAATAAGACTTATTTTTTTATGTTTATTATTTTATGGCTGTTTATGGTGAGAAATAAAACAACAAAGCTACAATAATGTGTTAATATTCAGAAAGGCACCCTTTTGTCTGAATCTGCTAAAATGAGCCTTTTTAGGGCCTGTAGCTGGTCAGGGACATGTGAAACCACTTTCATTGGAATTAGTGTTACCATGGCAACGCTTTTAACAAACAGCCACAATAAAAAGCACCTCGAACTTGACGGAGCTCAAATACAAGCATGCACCTGCACACATTGTGCATCACACTGACTGGCTCGGTTGGAAGAAGTGGTAAATCACTTTTAATGACAATTTGAGTTACCATGGCAACAGTATTGCCAAAATATACATTACAAAGCACCTCTAGCTAAATGTAGTTGCTCTATGTCAATACCGAAGATGTTTATGAAGTTCTTTGCACTAAATCTCTCTCACATAAAGCAATTTCAGCAGTTTTATCATTTTCAGTACTTTCCAAAATGAGCCATTTCAGGGCTCTGTCACTTTGAGAAAACAAGCAATTGCTGGCCACGCCCACCAATTTCCTGATTGGTCGCTATGAGGTGAGGAGCTCAAATATCCAGCAGGGGCTCTGAGTAGAGCTGCCGCTCCTCCAGAGTCGACATGTGAAGGTATTTCTATGCTTATTTGCCCATTTTTGAAATCACAATCTGGGACTTCTTGATTTTAGGCACGTGATTCCTGAAACCAACGACGGACAGAACATGGATGGATGGGGTCTTCCTGCCTGGACTGTTTATGGAGTCCGTAGACTCACGACGGCACAAAACAAATGCAGAAGGTGAGTTTTGCATCATTTGTCTCCTTTAAATCAATCATCTATCAGAGAAGGTGTTTGCTGCTGAAGTTCAAACTGAGCATCAGAATAGAGATTTACGGTGGAATGGTTGTTAGTACCAGGCATGATGGTCTGATCTACCAGGATTTGAACCCACAACCATCTAGGGTCTACAGAGGCTGGTCAGACTGGTTCTTGATGATTGAAAGACAGCAGTGGTTCCTTTAGGACCACACCAGCTGCTCCAGGTGGACTCCAGCAGCAGACGACCACACCAGGTGTCAGCTAAGAACATGAAACTGAGGGTAAGTCCCACAGGATCACCAGAACTGGATCAGGGGTTCTGATGAGTCTACCTGTTGATCTTCATGCTCACCTGCAGGACGTCGTTGGCACACCCACGACACAGGTTATGCTGGCAGGGCAGGATCACCACAGGTTTAGAGAACATCTCCAAGCACACGGGGCAGATCAGCTGTTTCTCCAGGTTCTCCATCGTGGTTCTGCTACGTGTACCGGGCTCAGAACTTCCAGGTGTTGGAGGTTTGAACCCAGAAGCAAAGCTCATTGCCTCAGATGGCGAACAGGTAAAGATTCTGCTGGCGTTTGTGAGATGTTTGGTTTTTATTGTAGATGTGACTCTATTCTTCCCCCTCTGAAAGCCCGTCTGGCTCGGATTTACGGACCCTCCCATCAGATATTTTTAGCTCTAGTGTTTGTTCTGGATCGGGTTTCTGGGAGCTCCGGGTGTGGCAGGAGGGTCACCACTATCAGAACTCTCTGTTGATGTTTCCATGAAGTCCGACACCTCAGAGAAGATCCTGGAGACACGATGACAGACGTTCCTGGTCGTTAACACTTCAGATGATTCCTTAAACCCCACAGCTGATTCCTGACTGGTCCCAGTTAAACCAGCCCACAACTCACTTCCTGTTTGCTCAGATTTGGGAGAAAATAGTAAAATCTTGTTTGTTTGTTTTTTTGTTTAAATCCTGAGTTCTTCTCCTGAACTGACTCAGAAGTTTTATTTTGTTCATAATTTTATTTTTTTATGTTTCAAAGAAAATCTTGAGTTCTCTGTGAAGGGTTGTCATGACAACACGAAGAGTTCATTTAGATTCCTGCAGTGATTAACAAGATGATCTATGAGATGTAATGCTACACGGCATCATATCTAATCATCTTTGTTCTGAGAACGTCCAGCTGATCAGAGCCACAGACATCCTAAAACAACTCTGACTCAGTAAATTCATTTTTATCTTTTGTTTTCCTCTTAGGAGACGCTAAAATTAGCTCTAGAATGTTTGATGGCGTCACTCAGGAGGATGAAAATAAAGCAGGACGAGATGCTGAAACAGAAACACGAGACGCTTCCCTCGACTGAAACAGCTGACAGGATCAATTTAAAGTTTGTTTTTATTTAATTTGATGTCATCAGGAGGAGAAATTAGTTTGTTTCTCTGAGAGAAACAAAGAAATGATCAGAGGAGATGGAGAGTCTGGATCTATCCCAAACTCAGACAGCTGCTGGTGTTGTAGGTGAAGTCTGAGGTGTAAAAGGTGAACAGAAAGGGTGAGAGCGCCGTACCCTGTGGAGCTCCAGTACTGCACACAAAGGCACACTTGGCAGTTTTGCTTACCTTTAGCACCCCCTAGTGTCTTCGTCTTCGTCTTCCTCCGCTTATCCGGGTCCGGGTCGCGGGGGCAGCATCCCAATTAGGGAGCTCCAGGCCGTCCTCTCCCCGGCCTTGTCCACCAGCTCCTCTGGCAGGACCCCAAGGCGTTCCCGGACCAGATTGGAGATGTAACCTCTCCAACGTGTCCTGGGTCGACCCGGGGGCCTTCTGCCGGCAGGACATGCCCGAAACACCTCCCCGGGGAGGCGTCCAGGAGGCATCCTGACCAGATGCCCAAACCACCTCAACTGGCTCCTTTCGATCCGGAGGAGCAGCGGTTCTACTCCGAGTCCCTCCCGAATGTCCGAGCTCCTCACCCTATCTCTAAGGCTGAGCCCGGCCACCCTACGAGGAAACTCATTTTGGCCGCTTGTATCCGCGATCTCGTTCTTTCGGTCATTACCCAAAGCTCATGACCATAGGTGAGGATTGGGACGTAGATCGACCGGTAAATCGAGAGCCTGGCTTTCTGGCTCAGCTCCCTCTTCCCCACGACAGATCGGCTCAGCGTCCGCATCACTGCAGACGCCGAACCAATCCGCCTGTCGATCTCCCGATCCCTCCTACCCTCACTCGTGAACAAGACCCCGAGATACTTAAACTCCTCCACTTGAGGTAGGACCTCTCCCCCGACCCGGAGGTGGCAAGCCACCCTTTTCCGGTCGAGAACCATGGTCTCAGATTTGGAGGTGCTGATCCTCATCCCAGCCGCTTCACATTCGGCCGCGAACCTACCCAGCAAGAGCTGAAGGTCAGAGCTGGATGAAGCTAGGAGGACCACATCATCCGCAAAAAGCAGAGACGAGATTCTCCTGCCACCAAACTCGACACACTCCACACCCCCTAGTGTACGTTATTAATTATCTTTGGTCAAATCAATAATCAAACCTATCTTCTTGCTGTGCATTCCTCTTTTTAAATGGACACTTTAAAACTTTTTCATACTTTTAAATTATTTTCTTGAGCCAATGCTAAAATAACCCTTTACAGGGTTAATGCCCCCATCATCCCCTGTGGTCAGACCATCGTGTTCCGGTCTGTTGGGACTTAGAAAAAACTGAGCTGACCTACCGGGCGCTGCTGTCTGGTTCCAGCATGTTTTCGATCATGAACACAGCTGATTTGTTTCGTTTAGTGATGACTCACTCCTCTAGACACTTAGGAACTCTGGGAGACATTTTGGCTGTTAGATTAAAGTGTTAAAAAGAAGAATGCACAGCGAGATTGGTTTCGCTTCAGACTATAGGGGGTGCTGAAAGCAAGCCTATTATTTCTTTAACGCATGCCCCCCCCCCCCCCAACTTTTTCCAAAGTCAAGTTTTGACCCCTGCACTTTTTACCATCCAAAGACAATATTACGCTTTATTAAGTTGACACTGGTTGAGCTCTAGGACCAAGCAGAAAACAACCATTGTGTTGAAGCCTGTTTCCCATTAGAACATACTGTGAAGACCCCCCCGTGTCCCCCCACTTCTAAAGTGAAAATTACGTCCATGGGTGTGAGTCATCACTACATCAACAAATCAGGTGTGTTCATAATCTAAAACATGCAGGAAATGTGCTGGAAGCAGACTGAAGCACCAGGTATGTCAGCAATTTTTTTCCCCCCAAGTCCAACAGGTGCCCAGCAGTCCGAAGTTGAAGGTCTGAGCGGCATTTCATTAACCCTGTAATGGATCATTTTAGCACATACTGGCTCAAGAAAATTATTTAAAAATATGAAAAAGTTACATAGTATGGCTTCAAATACAGAACAGAAGGCAGAAAAAAGTATAAGTTAAATAACAATCTTCACTGACAAACCATTTTATATAATAATTTCATGGAGGGGGCCATCGGCTAGCACACTGCTGCTAACCACTTAAACATTCACCCTCCCCTGATAATAACTTTTTACTCTGACATTGAACGTGCTACTACTAGTTTACCCGTTTAATTATAGATTCACTAGGATAAATACAATAAAGTTTATCTCTCATCAAATATATTTACTAAGAAATCACAATGTAACTATAGAAACATTACTTGGTATATATGTTGTGTGTGTGTGTGTGTGTGTGTGTGTGTGTGTGTGTGTGTGTGTGTTCTGTCTTCTCCATCCCCAGTGAGTCATGGTGGATGGCTGCTTATACTGACCCAGGATCCTCTGGAGGTTTTTTCCTGTTAAAAGGGAGTTTTCCTCTCCACTGTCACTAAATGCTTGCTTAGTATGAGGATTGCTGTAGTTTTGGAATGTTTACTGTGTGAAGTGCCTTGAGACGACTCCTGTCGTGATTTGGCGCTATAGAAATAAACTTGAATTGAATTGAACTTGAATTCATTATTCTAATCGGTCACTCTGAGTGTTTCATGCAGACTAAACATGAAAATAGTCTCCTACACCTATCTCCTGCATTAGCTTCTGATAGAAAACAGACAGTGAAACTCTAGGATTAGAAAAGCCTGACAGATCCACGTCACACTGTCACTAACATTCATGGACTCACCCATCTGGACTAACGACGGGGAAGGCTGTTGTTGGTTTAGCGTCCAGTAAACAGCTAGTGGAAGCTAACCATTAGCATTAGTAACACCACCACACAGCAGAACTCCTCCAGGCTTGTGTTATTTGTGGAGATAAAACATCAACGTTGGAGAGCAAACAGTCATGTTGCTGTTAACCAATCAGAGGAGAGACATCCAAATGTCAGGAAATAAGGCTCCAGATCCTGTCGTCTGAAGCTACTTTCTCCTCTGGCTGATTTATTCTGTGCTGAATCAGGCACACCAGAGCTTTGTTTCCTCAGAGTACAAGGCATTAATTTCTACTAGAGACTGCTCCAGATTAAATAACATACAAAAACTAAAGGACATCAAATTCAATATAAAACCAAACAAATCAACAAAAATGAAATTACCGAAAAGCAAAAATATATAAAACAAAGCAAAAATAAAATTTATCAACTACTTTGGCATCTTTAAACTCACTGGCTCACTTTAAAAAGCGTTTGTGTTAAAAATGAACTGATTTATGTAATTCATGCAGCATTTTAGCAATTGAGACCATAAATAAATAAAAATCCAGTAAAAATCCTCTAAATCATTTCCTTTAAACTGATATTTTAAATGCTACATTTGGTTTAGCTCAACAGGGTTGGAGCTAATTAACATAATGCAGTTGGATAAACGGAACGAGCTGCTAATGGGATTACAGGGCTATTTATAGACTGCTAAACACACACACACACACACACACACACTTAGATAAAACACAGGCGGAAGTGTGTTTATGTGTAAATCATTCAGTTCCTAAGGAATTTTTACTTCAGTTAAACAACTTTATAAGTGAAAATATGTTATGAATCACTGATTAACAAACTCACTGCAGGTAAAATGCACAAAAACATATTTTTGTTCTTTTTACCTGCAGTGAGTTTGTTAATCAGTGATTCATAACAGATTAATTCAACTAGATTTAAATGAATAACCTGTATTATTGATAGAAATGTGCTTTAATGAAAGACAAAAGGAAGAGACAGGAATATTATGAAATCCCCCTCATTTTATTTAGTCGTTTACACGCCATCCACAAGCCAAGAATCCCCAGAAACAGTTGTTCTGTACGCTGGTCAGGCGTTTCTGTCAAGTATAACACACAATTATTTCACTTTTCATCTTTTGAAAAAAAAAATGGATTAGATTAGTCAGATTGTCCAACCAATCCGCACACATGAGGTTTAATGGAAGAACGAGGTTCATGCTAGCATGCTAACATCAGACATGTCCTGACTGAACAAAAACCACCACTTCTCGTCAAGCAGGGCATTTTATTTTCAACATAAATAATAAAATAAACCATGGAACATATTTAAATCACTTTATTCATGGACTTCATTTTGTCAGTTTTATAGTTTAATAAAATAAATTAATTTGTTTATCTACTACATCACATCAAGACTTTTGGCCATTTTGTTTTAGTGTAGAATGATAAAAATTATCTTACCTGTAATAGACAGTTTCTTAAACAGCCTCTGTTTGGAGAAATGAAGTGTCTGCATTCAGGAATGCTAAGCTAACTGCTAGGTTAATGTAATCAGAAAACTACTTTCAGGCATTTTGGCAGAAACAAGAAATTCCAGCCAAACTGGACACTTGATGCAGCGTTAGCGCTTCATTTAGCTGCTGCACGCATCATCGATGCTAGTAAACAACCATAATTCTGTTGGAATAAGTTTATAAGATAACATGTGAAAAGCTAAGATACTCTGGAGATTGAAACAGTTTCTAGACAACAGGAACACACTTTGACACACCGTTAGCTTGTCCTGAAGGATGCAGACTCCATTTTTCTGAACAGAGGCTGTTCATGAGGACATCCTGCAGTGGGTTAGGAAGTACCGTAATTGGAACAAAGTTCTGATTACCTACAAAATCATTTTAATTTTGTCCCCTGATGATAAAAACTGATCTGAGGTGAATTCCAGCTCGCTGGATCAAAATCTGATCAACTAAAGAGATGCTGATGTTTTTCTCTGACCTGGCTCATGAGACGTGTTCGGTCCTCAAAATTAAAACTTGGATGTGAATCGGTATGTTTGGTGGCGCTCACGTGGAAACGCTGCACAGAGAGATTACTACAGATTAATCTAATCTGAGAAGACAGAGAAAGTATGTTTGTTATCAGGAACAGGCTTTTGTTGGTTTCAACTGATCCAAAACATCTGAATTAAACCCATGAACGTACAGATTTCTACATGAAAATGTTAGCATTAAAAGAGCAAAACTGTCAGAATCCCTTTTAATGGATGTTAAATGAGCTCATAAGTGAAAGATGGCTGATACAGAACCTAAAAGGCGAGAAAAACCCAACAAGCAGCTTTGATTTACGTTAATTCGTAACAATAACTGAGATTTATTTGATAAATTGCTTTTAAAATGAAACTAAATTAGACGTCTTGTTAGGAAACTAAATGTGACAAAAAAATAATAAAAAAGCACCAAAGTCTTAGAGTTTAGAATAAAACCCAAAGTTATAAAATATTAACCAGCGAAATTAAATAACCTGCACAAAAATAAACTCAGCTTGTGGGAAGATGAACCTTCAAGGTTTTGTCTCACCTCATTTAAAACCAGTGTGTGTGTGTGTGTGTGTGTGTGTGTGTGTGTGTGTGGGGGGGGGGGGGGGTAATAAAAATGAACACCTCAATACAATTATTTTATAATAAATCCTCTTTATAACATCGACACCTGGACAAAATAATTATCTCAGGTGTATTTTTATTTTTGAACAGGAAAATGTCCCATGAGTCACAAGAAGGGGCAGGGCTTAAAACGTATACTAAATCCAGCCACCAGGGGGCGATTTTTACGCTTCAGCTTACGCGCCAGTTCCTTTTCTCTGGATGTGAGACCAATTTTAAGTTTTAGTTTAAGTTTTACTGTTAAAATTTTAAATAAAAATTCTGGCCAGTCATTTTTACTTCCTTTGTAAATTAGAGAGAAATGTAAAACTCACCCTAAGGAGCAGGCATTTATAAAGGGAATGATTACATCTCAAGTGAGGTGAATCAGAGTCTCTTTAGTCATTTTGTGGAGCAAGAGGTAAAAAAAAACAAGATGAATCGGGTTAAAACAGACTCGGACACGTGTTTGACAATCAGAACCGTGGCATTAGAACAATGGCCCGAACCCGGTTAGCCGTGTGCTTCACGTTAGCAAACGGAACTCAACACAAAAAGAGCAACAATAATGCGACAAAGAGTCTTCCGACGTTCCATCAGAGGTCCATGATTTGGCATCGACTCACTGCACATCACACTGGGTTTGGGGGTGAGCCGGGTAATTCGAGCAGTTTTTCGCTGATCGGGAGGAGAGGCGGTTCCATGCTGTACAGAAAATAACGCATGCTTTGGCTCAGACGTTTAGCATCAGACCATGAAGTGTGGCCGCCTCCTGATGGAAACTTTCCTTTGAGGCAAAGTTTTCCCCAAAAATGTCAGGAAGTCTGTTATGAAAACCCTGTGATTGGCATTTAGCGCTCATCCAGCAGAGTGATGGTCTGAAGATGTTGATGCAACATTTAACTTGGACGTTCCTCAACCTCCTCAAGTCTCCTGTCGTTTCCGTTGTGCAGCTGGTTACTCGTCTTTAAACGTGAACGTTAATCTTCTACCCGCCCAGTTAAGTCCACCTGATGCATCCTTAGTTGGCAGCCTTAAACGGACTAGTCAGAAAACAGGAGGGAGAAGAGTGTCGTCCCAAAGAGTCTATAGAGAATTCCCATAACTTGGCTGATTCCACGGAGACGGACGGGAGCAATCAGGAACCCGCCTCGCATTCCAGGAGGGTTGGGATGGGCATGGGGGGTGGGGGAGGTCTGGACCGGCTGGTGATGTTGGACTGGTTTTTCTCTGGGTTCAGCAGTTGGATGCAGCTGGTTGGTGGAAGAACCCGGAAAGGCTAGGAGGAAAAGAAAAAAGCAAAACAAAAAAAAAACAAAAGTTAAATTAAGTTTAAAAAGACTGAAAAGATTACCAACGTAAGGCCAGCACCGCATATCAGTGAAGATTTACTAAAAATGACTTTTTGGCACGGTAAATGATTAAATATTACCAATGGCGCTATTCAGATGTCATTTTTCTTAAATAAGAGTTATTTTTGTCTAGTACACTTGGTCTCAGCGAAGCTCCGCCCACGCCCGCTCCGACAAAACACACCCACAACACCGTCTGCCTTGGTAGTCCAGCGGTCCAGACTCCGCCCACTCGGCAGCACCTTATGTAGCCAGCAGAAGCAGATTACATCTTTTCAGAATTGAGTTTTATTGATTATTGATCTCTAAAGATCTCTGAATTTGGTCGTTTCCAAGCAGCATTTCAGTCTTTTCACCTCAGGTGGACTCAAACTGGCTAAACGAAGACAGTAAAAAACAGATTATTCCTTTTATTTTAAACGGACGACGGTGGCACAGGAGTTAAGTGCTCGCCCCGTAATCGGACGGTTGCAGGTTCGAGCCCCGCTCAGTCTGTCGCTGTCGTTGTGTCCTTGGGCAAGACACTTAACCCACGTTGCCTGCTGGTGGTGGTCGAAGGGACCGGTGGCGCCAGTGCTCGGCAGCCTCGCCTCTGTCAGTGCGCCCCAGGGCAGCTGTGGCTACATTGTAGCTCATCCCCACCAGTGTGTGAATGTGTGTGTGAATGGGTGAATGACTGATTGTGTTGTAAAGCGCCTTGGGGGGGTCCCAGGACTCTAGAAGGCACTTTATCAAATACAGGCCATTTACCATTTACCATTTAAACAGTTTATGGTTAAAAACATCATAGCAAGTGTTGGTAAAAAAAGAAGAAAACGAATTACACGCTTGTGCCAGACAAACAAGAGTGAGTGAGTGAGTGAGTATGGCTGGAAAATAAGCGTATTTCAATGAAATTAGCTCTATTGACATTTACGACAATCTTGTAGAATACTAAATTTATCTGACTGCAGTTTGCAATGATCAGAATTTCTGAGTGCAAAAGAGCGTTCGTCATCTTTAACTTCTAATCTCCTGTGCATGGTGACAGGGTCAATCTACGACACAGTTCTCTGCACAATACTGCTATCTAATAAGCTAATGTGCACACAAATGAGTGTGCATGTGCTGTGATGTCATTGTTTACATAATGTTTGAAAAAGAAGAACTTAAAGGAATTTTACCTTCCTGCTTGCTTTCGCTGAGCCTTAATCACACGGTCACTTTCCTGAGAAGAGAGAAGGTTTGTCACTGACGTTTCGATGCAACATTTAAATGCTTTAAGTTGCACAAAGACAAAGTAAAATACGGCAAATTTGAACCAACATAAAAGCAGGATTTACAAAATAAACCAAAAATATGCTGATGTGATTAAAATCAGAGCCGTTTACATATTTCAGTGAATATCTGCTTCATCCCACTGAACAACTCCCATGCATTGTACACATGCAAGCCCTGATAGTGTGTGTGTGTGTGTGTGTGTGTGTGTGTGTGTGTGTGTGTGTGTGTGTGTGTGTGTGTGTGTGTGTGTGTGTGTGTGTGTGTGTGTGTGTGTGTGTGTGTGTGTGTGTGTGTGTTGAGGTGCACGATAGGAAAACACATGCAGGTGAGAAACTGTGAGCAGGAAGATTTCTGTGTGACGACCATGAAGCCGTTTGTTTACAGATCAGTGAAGAAGCAGCCAGAGAGGAAGGTGACAGGAAGCAGAAAAGATGGAGACGGATTGTGATGGAAGACAAAACAGTGGAAGATGGCGGGGACACGCGGGTTAGACGAGGCGGCTCTTACGAGTCATTTAGACTCTGGTAAGTCATCCCCGGGGTTTCCGCCTCCTTCTGCTGTGGTCGGAGACTGTGGCTCAGGTGGAGGCATGGGCATAGGCAGGGGGATGGGCTTACTCTGGTCCTCTGGGGTTTCTGGACTAGATGAGGGCTGGATTATGATTACTGTGGCACCTGTTGGAGCATAAATAATCCTGGCTCACAGACTCTGGTTTAAATGTAAGACAACATCAAATTAAAGGAGCAAACAGAAATAATCCAACAGGACATCTATGGAGGCTGTTGCTTAGAAACGCGAGGTACACTTTATTAGGTACACCACGAGTGCTATTACCAGGCTGGAACCCTTTCTTACCTTCAGGGCCACCTTAATTCTTCATGTCATTGATCTACCCATGTGCCCTAAGAGGTTCTGGTCCATTCTGACATGACACCATCAGCTCCATCCATGATGATGATGAGGTTCTGGACTGGTCTGAGATATGGTGACCGTTGGGAGTCCAGTGAACTCATGGTCATGTTCTAGAAACCAGTTAGAGATGACCTGAGCTCTGTGACCTGGAGCATGATCCTGCTGGACGTAGCATCAGAAGATGGTCCATGTGGTCATGAAGGGATGAAGATGGTCAGCACCAATGCTCAGGTAGGCTGTGGGGTTTAAACCAGGCTCAGGTGGGACTAACGGGTCCAAAGTGGGACAAGAACACCCCTCCACACCACCAATACACCAGCAGCAACCTGAATCACGATCCATGCTTTCATGTTGGTGACACCAAATTCTGACCAGACAGCAAAAATCCAGACTCAGATGGTTTTTCCAGTCTCTTCTGGTCCAGTTCTGCTGATCCTGTGGGTATTGTTGCCTTGGATTCCTCTTCTTAGCTGACAGAAGAGACACTTGGTGTGGTCTTCTGCTCCTGGAGTCCTTCTGGAGAAGCTGGGGTGGTTCTGCAGACCTCGGTAGGAACCAGAGCCGCAGGCAACGTTCCATCATCTAGAACCAGTCTGACCAGTCTGTAAGCCCTAGAGATTGTTGTGGGTTCAAATTCCAATAGCTCAGACAAGTCTGTCTGGTACCAACAACCAGACCCACTCACGTCTCCATTCTGAGGCTCATTTTGAATTTCAGCATGTTTAGATGCATAAATGCTGCCATCTGATTGGCTAATTAGACATTTGGGTTGACAAGCAACTGTAAAGGTGTACCTAATAAAGTGCCCAGTAGGAGCATATGCCCTTGTTATGTTCTTCATGTTTCTCATTCAATTCCAGACTTTCTGTTCTGATCTTGTACACGGACTAGCTAACTTTCTGTTTTTACCTAGTTGCTATGGCAACTAGGTAAAAGCCTGAAACTCTGCTAAGAACACAAAATCTGTGGAATTAGAGAGAGCAAGCGTGTGCTGAAGCAATCGTTTAATTATGAACATTTTCTGGAATTCAAAAGTCTGACAGGAAGACAAACAGAAACGGCCTCGTCTCTCAGAAACACCTAGCCATGTGATCAACACTTCCTTAGTCTGCATAGTCCCAATCTTCCCTCTTTTAAGTCCTCGAGTTTTACCCCATACATGATCACATAAATGCATGGAGATGCGTTAAATATGCTGCATCTTTCCGCTCACGGCTACACAGACATGCATCCATCAGTCTGAATTAAAACCAGCCGGGGACACCGCCGAGCGCTCACCTCCGTCCTGGTCGGCTCGGATTTGGGCCTCCAGGTCTTCGGGGTCGACGTACTGGTAGTGCTCGTCGTCGTCGGGAGGTTTGCACTTCCCGCAGCAGAAACAGCAGCAGCAGCAGCAGCAGCAGCAGGTGAAGACCGTGCAGCACACCACCAGGCTCTGCAGGGATTAACGTGCAAACACTTCTTCTCAGCCACAGGGAAGAGTTTAGCAGAACTTGTTCATCTCCAAACTGTCGACGGCAAACAGCGTCGACAGTTTGGAGATTTACTATTTTCTTCTATCCTGTCAGATTACAGCTGGCTCGTTGAGGGACTAGATATGAAATCTAAGGCAAAATACAAAACAGTCATTTAAAAGTAGGTGTTGCTTTTTTAGGGGAACACGGAACAAAACAGATCATGAAACACAAATACCAGACTGTAATCTTAATCGTCTCGGACAGTCAACAAAAAACCAACAGCATAAGCTTCTGCAGAGGAAGCACATCTGCTGCACATCTGTTCTGCTACACGACATTAGAGTGTGCAGAAGCTGCTGGTGTGTGTCAGTCCTCAGCAGCAGGACCGGTTCTACAGACACAACCGGGCCTCTTTGAACTTCAAAGGTTCTGCACAAACTTCCCGAGAACTCGCAGACTCACAGGTGAGGAGCAACTCCCGCGTAAAACTGCATGTAAACGTTACATTTACTCCTAACCATGTGATCAACACTTCCTTAAACTCGGATTATTGGTCTCACTTGGTAATCTAAGGTTTCCATCAGTGGGCAAGCTTTAAAAGCAGCTACTAAACTATTTTGGGTGAAGATTAGTTTATCTGTGAGTTTTCCCCTCTGAGTCACACTAAACTACTCCTAAATAAACTGCTATAAGTGCAAAAATGCACGTAAAGGTGAGCGCCACACACCTTAAACCACCACTTGGACATGAGGAAGTAATATTTGACGCTTTCCTCTCCGAACTGCTCGGACACGTAAAGGCCCATGGAGCCATACTCGTCGTAGATCTTCCTCTTGGTCTCGTCGTTTAAAATGGAGTTGGCATTGTTGATCTCCTTAAACTTCTCTGCTGCTTCCGGATTGTCCGGGTTCTTGTCTGGATGGTACTTCAGTGCTAGTTTTCTGGCAGGAGAGAAGAGACATAATAGTTGGAAAAAGCAGCAACAATTCCATCCCATTGTCTGATTAAATGTGTCTAAACCCAAAAGCAAACATCCTGGTCTCTAGAATGAATAAATGCCTTGTGACTCTGTGCTCTACAGCTCCCGATTCAGGAAGTAGAAGTTTGTCAGTGGGCGGTCCCGAGCCAAGGTGGGCGGGGACATGAATGCTAATTTTCTTGTGATGTAGAAGAGACGGGGGTGTTTCTCAGTGTCAAGACGCCTTGCTTACGAGGACACTGTCCTTCCTTGGTCAAAGAAAACGGTTAAATGGAACAGACTTGCATCACATGACCGCGGCTTCCACAGCGGTCACGTAACGTCACGTGATACGGGAGATAACGTCATATTTTATATGTATTAGTTACTTTCAATATAAATATATAACGAGCCTTTTACTTTTTAAATTGTGTATATGTTTATTAAATTAAATATAAAAGCGAGTTACTACCCGCTAGTCATCGAAGCTGCAACTACTGAGCTACTAACTAACCATAGATAACTTCTTTGGGTCTAAAAAAACATTTTAAATTAGCTGACTTACTTTTAAACTTGAAAATTGTCCACCGGAGTAGCTGCCGGCTTCTGATCCACCGTCCTTTTGAAAATACAGCAGTGTATTGTGGGTAATTTTTGACCAAGGCTAGGCTAAAAGACACCTCCCATGTATCCTCGCTCAGCTAGCTAAACGGCTAACAAACGGAGAACACACGCCTCGGTAGAACATGAACATTGGAACACGTCTTGATGGCTCCTGATGGCGTATCTCCTAGGCAACCGGGGCGGGGCCAAGACATCAAGGCGAGGTTCCTTGGCATTGGGAAACACCCTGGATTTTTCTGATCTAGTCGTATTCCTGTCTACTTCCTTTCTGCGGCTCATGCAGACGATGGGGTTGGAGAAAATGTCCACGATCAGCATGCACGTGCTACTCAGAGTGGCCGATCGTATTTCAGAAAGAACAAGTGTTGCATGGTTTCTATGAAAGCAAATCTGTTTCATTCCTGTAAAGATTATGAAACCATGTAGGAAAGGCTTTATTGCACCTTTAGGGACAGAAATCTGAACCAACCATGAAGAATTAGTTCATAATTACAGGCTGCTTTCTGCTCTGCAGCAGCTGATCCGTCTCAAACAGGCAGTGAATAGTAATGGTAGTTACTCTGATTACATCACGCTCAGACAGCTTACCTGTATGCTTTCTTGATTTCCTCTGTTGACGCTCCTTTCTCCAGGCCCAAGACCTTGTACACGCTCTCCCCAGAGGTGGACATCTTCCTCTGGGGGCGGGGCGGGTTGGGTTCAGCCATGGTTCTCCTCTAACAAACGCAAACAGAAGCTGTAATAATGTCTAGCATCAGGATTCATTTCCTCTAGTTGTTCCTGCTGATGGACTATTTCACCTGTTTTTACCCAACAAACTTAACTCGTTATTCAGAGGCAGCTCTTAGTCTCAATCCACAGTGAGTGTAATTATGCTGTTTATTTGGAACTGAGGGTTCTGGGTGTGATTTTATTTTTACTGTAAATAATGAGACATTTTATAGTTTTGAGTCACTAGCTTTAGGCTACTTTGATAGCAAGTCCACAGAGGAACCCATAACTGTTCTATCCTTCACAATAAGAGTCTAAAACACAAATATAGATAATAAAAGAGGTCATTAACATTGTTTCCTGGTAAAAGTCTACAGAGAACACACGTCATGAACTGCTTTCACGTGAATCGCCACAACCAAGAGGCTGGCATCGTGTACAGCAGGGCGATTCAACTCTGGGCCTCGAGGGCTGGTGTCCAGCATGTTTTAATGGTTTCTCTAGTCCAGAGGTAGGCAACCCTGGTCCTAGACAGCTGCAGTCCTGCGTGTTTCCAGCCATGTGTGAACATGCAGCTTCTAATTGGCTGAACACATCTGATCCAGGTAATCAGCAGCAGGAACAACAAGCAGGACGAGGACCAGAGCTGCTTATCCCTGCTCTAGTCCAACGCACTGGATTCAGTTATTGGATCACCTGCAGCAGCTCATCGGGCTCTGCAGAAGCCTGCTAATCACCTGCTGATTGAAATCAGGTGTGTTGAAGCAGGTTAAAACCAAAACGTGCTGGATACCGACCCTTGAGCCCTGCTGTACAGGAACATCTGTGCAGAGTATAGACTGGAAGTCCCAACGTCAAAGTGGGTAGCCCCCCTAAGGTGGTGGAGAACGAGAGCCAAGCTCCTGCGGGACGTCGAGATCCAGACTGACAAACAGGAGGAGAGCAGCAGCAGGTGAGTTAGTGACTGGCAGGTCAACCACCATAAACTTTACTGAAGAATTTAATCCAACTGTAAAAAACAAATACAAAAATTCTAAAAAAAAAAAAAAAAAAAAAAAAAAGACATAAAAATTAACCCCCCCAAAAAAATAAAATAAAAGTTTTTTTTTAATCTGAGTTTTAAATCTAAAGGGTTCATTTGTGTGAGAACACTGGTTACTCGATAGTGTCTGCAGATAACAAATGTACTCAACCTGCTGACGTTCACACACAGGGATTTAGGAGCAGATACATCAGCAGAGAAAAAGCTGCTGAACCTGATCTGAGTTCTGATTAAAAACAGATTCTACGGTGAAACCACAACATTAAAAACCTCTACAGCTGCTCGTGTTCACTCCTTCCACAAACACATGAAACAAGCTAAAAGCCTGACTCAGGGTGATGGCGCTGAAGGAAGCAGGTCGGGGTTATTTAAGGCAGTAATGTGTGCCAGCTTTTAGCATTTAAAGAAATCTAATGAGATAAATAACAAAAATAGTAATTGTCCCTCATTTTGCTGCATCTTCTGTTTTTGTGAGAATTAAAGTTTTTTTTTAAAGGAAAAGATTTCCTTTGATATCAGTTACTCCATCGTTCACTTGGGCGTTTTTATCTCCAAACATGATTTTATTTTAGCCTCAGCTCGTTTGTGGAACTAGGACAACTTTAATCCCGTGTGCGAGCCGGAGGGCAGATCATGTTTACTAAACAGAAAGTTCAGTATAAATAAAAACAACAGTTACACAATGCAGAAGAGTCCAGCACGAGTCCTCCGCCACACAGCCAACGCCACAGCGTTTAGTCAGTGACTAGAGAAGATTACATTATGCTGAGCTAACAGATTACCAGCCAAGGCTACGTCAGAGAGGACCAGCGCTGCGGTCAGGGTCGGTCAGACGTACACACACACACACACTCTCATACACACACACGCACTCACACACCCTCTCACACGCACACACACACACTCTCTCATATACACACACACATGCACGCACGCACGCACACACGCACACACACACACACACACACACACACACACACACACACACACACACACACACACACACACACACACACACACACACACACACACACACACACACACACACACACACACACACACACACAGAGTTTTTTTTAATGTTCGTTAGACAATTACCCCATTACAAATCCCACCATGATCCCAGCTAAAAACTAGCAAGAATAAAGGCTTTTGTTATGAAAGTCTTATGAACGACATCAAAAATACTCTAATGTCATGAACAGAGCATTCTGTCATCAAAATTATTAAGTAAACCAAAAATATTTATTTATTAAGGAAGTTTGGGAATTATGATCATTTAACCATTTTCAATTTTCTGTTGAAATGAGTGAAATTTGAGCCGTTTTAAGACAGCAGCAAATCACTCTCGTCTGTGCTCAGCCTAGCCGTTAGCTCATCAATCCTGCTGAAGTTAAACTTTCTCCAAATAAAGGTCATTCAGGAAATTACCTACATAAGATATTAATAACCGCCCACTTTTACACAGAAATGCAGTTAATTATCATCATGGCATAAATATTTATCAGAGGAAGCTCCTGTCAGTCTAGTTTTATATGCTGCAGTCCAGGAAGGAAAACCAGAGATCCTTATCCCAGCGACTCTCCCCAGCTCCTCCTGAGGGATCTCCGGTGTTCCTGGACCAGAGAGGAGAAGTAATCTCTCCAGGGAGTCCTCCCAGTGTTACAGCATTCTAATCAGATGCCTGAAGCACCTCAAATGAGGAGTGTTTTCACTCAAGAGTTCCTGTGAAGGAAAATCATCAGAGCGGCTTGCATTCTGGACCAACCATCCAAGACTCATGATCATAGAACATCAACACGCCAGCAAATCCAGATTCTTGCTTTAAATATTGATATTTTTCTTTATTTATTTAATGTAAAAAAAACAATTACTTTATGTTCAACTACACAGATTTAGAATTTTTTTAAATAAATAAACTAAAATGTTCTGCTTGCAAACTAATTATTCAGATTTTCTTGCTCTCAGTCAAATAAAATTCTCTCTAAAATCAGATTTCCATCTTTAAAAACTGGAGTGGATGGCTGCTAACGGACATCATTCTTTTCTCACTTCTCCAATAAGATGCTGTGAAGGGCGACGTCTGTTTCAGCAGCAGAAAGCTGCTCTACTCCTATTGTCTCATCTAATTAGTTAAAGAGCCTCTTAGTGCTTAGGCGGCGTTTCCAGCAGAACCAGATGGTACTTCCACATTTTAGCTCTGAAAACGGGCGACTCGGAAGGAGATTATCATTTGTGCCAAGATTTTATAGAAGAGGAGGACCTCATGTGAATGCTTTTATGATGACTGATCAAAAGTGTCAGATATTTTAGTTTTCCATTTGAACACCTCTGATTAGACTATAATTACAACACACAAGGTGCTTTGCCAAGTAAAATGATCAGAAAATCAAATGGAACAAAAGCAAAGTTTAAAAAGTAAACAGAAAAAAATATACTAATATTTAAACATCAGCCTTAATATTAAAGTGCTGCTCAGTTAGTTTTGGGTTTACTGCAGTAGAAGATCTCCTGGATGAAACCTGCAGGTTCCATCACAAACTGCTTATTCCAGATGTGCACGTCTTTAATAGTAAACACAAGATTTGCTCATCAGCCTTCATTCACGGATTGGATCTGAGATGAAGCAGATAATCACCTCCTCTTTGTTCATTTGTATAAACCATTTCACTGAAGAATCACTGCTGCTGCAGCAACAGCAGACGGGTTTTAATCAGCTCCTCCAGCACAAACAGGAAGAGACTGCATGAACACTGCATAAAGGAGATCACAACAGAAACAAGCTGCCGGAGCCAAGACAGCTGATGTAAACACTCCATCCACACATGCAGCACACACCCAGACAGGGTCAGGACTGAAGATGCCTTTCCACAACACATCTGAAGAATGGTCACCTCTCTGACCACAGAGCTGCACCAGCGGGACGTGTCGACCCATCAGACTGCCACCCGAAGCGAGTCTTTTACAGGAATTATCCAGCTGCACATGTTTCAAACGCGCCTGGTTTGTTTTGTGTATCAATGAAAGCAGGAGACAAGGACAGTTTAGGCTCCTTTAATAAGGTCGGCTGTTTTGGTCAAATCCTGAAAATAATCTTCATGATTTCACCACAGGAGAGCTAAAAGAGCTTGATCTGTAAGACCTCTCAGCTGCAACCACACAAAATTTTATCTCAATTTCTGTAAATTAGAGCAGTTTGGAGCCATTTTTGTACTTCCTGCAGTCAGTTTGCTGTGGGAGCCATGTTGGATGGGGTGAATCTCAAATTTAAAGGGACTATATTGTGCAAAATCCACTTTTTAGGAGCTTTTGACCTAAAAACACCCCCAAAGTAATGTTTTGCTTCACACATGCATTTTGCTCTCTCAGCTAGGGGTGGGCAATATAGACGATATAAGGTAGAAACGATATAAAATTGGGTAATGATAGTTTTTGGCTATATTGCAATACCTCGATATCGCGATAACACATGACGTCACTAAGATGTGCACCCTGCTGACATTGGGACAACAGAATGACTGCAAGCATGGAGTGGGTGGAGGAAGAGGCCTATATGCCTCAAGTGGCATATATTTGCCACATGAGGACATTTAAAAGCATGTCATTTTGACATATATAAACAGAGGAAAAAATATATCGCAATATATATCATTACCGCACATGCTTCAGATTATATCGCAATATAGATTTGAGGCCATATCGCCCAGCCCTACTCTCAGCTGCAGCTTCTCTTCAGCGCTGCTAAGCTATTGTAAATGACTGGATGTGGCCGGTGTGCATCATCATGCCCTGCTCCTCTCCATCCAGGTAGTGCCTAATCAGGATCCCTCTTCCCTGGACTGTAAACACTAACTCCCGCTCTCTCAGAGTAGCTGTCTGGGAGTTGAATCTCCACAGTTGTGAAGGAGTGACAACTTTCTTATCTAGTCTATTCTAAATAAAGCCTAGAACCCAAAAATGGACTTTGTCTGCAAGAGGAACAGGATCCCTATCCTGTCTTCTTGAAGAAGAGTTTAACCAGCAGAAATAGTTGGTTTTTATCTTCAGGAGGCCTTAAAAACCAAGTCAGAGTGTTGGATTACTGAATTACTTCTTCAAACCAGCATCATTCCAGCATTAAAAGCACCTGATGGATAGGCCAGAGCGGGTGAATAAAACAAAAATTCTATGCGCTAGCTGCTAGCTGAATATTTATAGTTTGGTGGGTGAGCGTTGGGGGCGAACTGGGACAATAATTCATCCCAGCTGCCTTCTGGCTAACAATCGCAAACAAAAACAGTTTAACCTGTCTTTCTGCATTTAGCAGCTAATAATAATAATAATAACAACAATAATAATAATAATAATAAATGACAGCTAATTTTTAAGTAATTTTTCAAATGTGTTAAATTAAAAATAAATAAAAGCTTTAAAATTTTTACAAGAACAAAATAAAAAACTGAATTTAAAGAGGATTTTACTTAAACAACATAAACCAGCGAACTTCTAAACAAATGAGACAAACTTCTTCAGTTCTTTATTTCTAGGTAAAGACAACGACCCAGAAATGAAGAGACCAATAATAGAAATAAAAACAACTTTAAAGCATCTGACGTGTGTTTAGTAGCAGCTCTTTAAAAGCTCCAGACTAGGCTTGTTCTCAGGACCGAGGATCATCATGTGAAGCCTGCAGGTAACAACCCAAATCTTATTCAGATAAAACATCAAAGCACTTACGGTATTCTGTAGTTCTGATGGTTCTAAAATTAGAAACAATGCAGTTAAGAATAACTCTAAAGACATTTAATAAAAAATAAATAAAATTCATCTATTAGTAGCCACTCGTTCTCTCATTTCATGTCCAATACTTTATAATCTGAAAGATCTACTGTTAACTTACTAAAAGATTATAATGTTCATTTTTATTTCACATCTAAAATATAATATAATAAGGACTTTGTTAAATCCTCCTAAGTAATACTCAGATAAATAAAAAATAAACCAAAAATTGGGTTTAATAAGACCATAAAGGAACAAACGAGGCTGAGATTGTGACATCACAAGCAAACTGCACTGATCATTTAAGAGCATAACAGCATTAATAACCTGCATGCTCATGAACAAGATGCAAACAAATAAATAAAAATCCAGGATGACATTGGAAAATAAAAAAAGTAAGATGATTAAACTCTGGAAGGCAAGAGATGCGGAAATCAGGTTAGAGACTGACCAATATATTCAGTTTTTTTTTACATCGGCCAAATTTATTTTTAAAAGCCGATTTAAAAAAAATTACCAAATCAGGTACCTGTGTGGCCAACTGCCGCCACTACTAGACTGAAGAAAGGGCCCGAAGGACCCAAACACATTGTTCATTTTATGCTTTGAGTTTGTTTTATATTTGAAGTTCAATAAATATTAATTTACATTGCACACAGCGAGTGTTCAGTTGAAAAATCGGTATTGGCCTTAAAAAACTCATATCTGTCGGCTTTTAAGTCAGGTCAGTAACTTTGGTGAAATTAGAAAGAAACCTGATTACTTTATGATCATTAGATCTGCTAAGAAAACAAAAAAGGCTGAGGTAGGTAGTGTTTTTAGGATTTAAGTTCAAAAGGGATGAGGTTAAAAATGTATTTAAATGAATATGAATGACTTTTAAACACAACATCCTCTCCATAGAACTTTGAATAAAAGTTCAAACTAGCTTTTAAATGTCAGAGAGATCAATAAGAAGTGCAGTAAATCCCAAAATAGTTTTCACTTTGTGGCTAAATCAGATAAATTTAAGAAAAATAAATAAAATCCATGAACATGTGAAAGTTTCTGCTCCAAAAATCATACATTTTGAGTTCATTTGAGTTTTTTAAAAATTATAATTTCAACCTGTTAGTCGTAGATCTTTGTGATAACTTAAAACTGGTTAAAATCAGTATTGGCAGGTCAGAGCCGTACTAGAATAAGAAATTGGTATCGGCTCTCCAAATAAGAATCGGTGCATCTCTAGAATCAAGAAACCAAGATTTGACAACTAAATTAAACTTCAAGTAAAATGAGATGACAGCATCTGCACAGATAGGTAATGTTATAAGACACCTGATGTCGTTGTTTGGGAATAATGATGGAAGAAACCCCACGTGATTCCCGTCTGTTTGTCCTTATGAGCTCTAATCCTCTCCTAATCCCGCTACACAGGGATAACTACTTTCTATTTTACACCACAACATTCATCTACCTTTTGCAACATTTCAATTTATTTTTGCCAATTTCTTCAGATTCCTTGCAAATCACAGTAATGCTGACTCAGCATCCCAACCTCCATCTGATAAAACTAGAAGCACATTGACGAATCTGCACAAACATCAGCACTAGAGAGGCGGTTGCTAAAGCAACAAGCTGGGAGCAGGCGTTGTTGGCAGATAAGCCAACATGCGTTCATAATTTGGACGATTTTGTTAAGCTCCATCATCTAAACCGTACATGGAAAGATAATCTGGATGCTTTCCCTAAACATTTCAGAACAATTGCACTAGAAATTCGGCGTAAATAAAACACACGATTCACTTAAAAAAAAAGACAAAAACCCAAACAGCCCTTTATTTCACCTATTTTAGAACATAGCAAGTTAGCTTACGACACCGCCCTGCAGCTAACCAGCCCCAACAATAAAAACGACGGAAACGTCTCACCTTGAGTAAACTGAACACCGTGTACCTCGTCGTAAGGTTAGCTGGATCATAGAGGCATCTAATTTAATGTCTTGGCTCGCAGTTAACGGGACAGAAGCACGGTTCCGTTAGCCCGGTAAGCAGAGCAGTGACAGACCGCTGGACTCGCCGGGTCACTCGCTCCTCCTTCCAGGAAATAACGGATGCATGGCGTGCTGCGTTCATGGACCGAACCTGCACGTCAGAAATGTTAGAAGCACGTCACATACAACGATTTAACTTTTATGTTTTAACAAATACTTTAAAAGCACAGCGAAGTTGTCAGATTAAAAAAAAAATCAATTTCCCACTAGTATTTAAATATAATCGTAATAAATCTGGTTTTTATTTTGAAAACATGACATTGACCTTAACTTGTACCCCTTTAATTTTCCGACAGTAATGAACGCGTCAGCGCAAATCCTGTTCCACTTTCACTTTTTTCCCCCTAAACATTGAATTTATCATCATATAATAACTTCTAATTTGTACCAAATTTAAAGAGCTCTAATATTTTTATAAAGATTCAGACGCACAAGTCAGATTCTATTTTTGAAGCACTTGTATTGAAATAGTTTCATATTGTGACAAAAGGACATGGGGAAATTGTCTTTATTTTATTATTTCATGTTATTCAGCAACACTTCACTGATGTAGATCCACATTTTCATTTAAAAGTATATTACAGTATAACAAATTGTTGAGTTACAGCAAAAAATAAAAATAAATAAAAAAAACTTAGCACTGAGAATATTTGCCCCTTTCTATATCCATTATTGCTCCAGGTTAAAAACCAACAACACAGTTGAAAATGGTCTATTACAGCTGATGTAATTGATTCAGAGTATTGGTAAGAGCAGAACATACTGTGTATTGTCTCTTAAGCATCCTAACTGGTTAGACATTAAGACATGGAAAAATGTTTAAACAAAACAAAAAAATAATAATAAAGGATCCTGACCTGGCTCAGTAATACAGAAAAACTGAAAGTTGGTCAAACAGCTCAAACAAATGAAAAAAAAAAAAAAAAAAAAAAAAAAAAAAGATTCTTACAGGATGAGACTCTTATGTATGGGATTTGGTGATTTAAGATGCAAACACAAAAGCAGCTGAGTCACGTTACAGCAGCATAATAGATTTACTCCACAGTGCAGAGTTCCTGTAATGTAGTTCGTTTCTGGAAATGTGAAAATCCATGAGGAAAAGGTACAAAGTCTAAAACTGTATAATAAAACTTCACTGTTTGCAGCATATGGATTTATTTGCCCAGTACGGTGGCCAGCAGGGCCATTCTGATGTACATGCCGTTCTCCGCCTGACGGAAATACGCCGCTCTGGGGTCTGTATCCACCTCCGGACTGAGACAAGGACATAAAAGGAAATTAGGAATTATTCTGGGAAGTATGAACTAAATCCGTAAAAATAATAAAGTTTTGTGTGTCCACCTGATTTCGTTGACTCTGGGTAGAGGATGCATCACCACCATCTTCTTTTTGGCCACGGTCATGATGTGAGGAGTGAGGATGAACTGACCAAAACACTGAGCAACACAGAAAAGGTAGAGCTTATTCAGGCCTCAGTCTTCTGGCATGCGTATGGAAAGCAAAAGCTGTAACTAAAACCAAACTCACTGCTTTGTACTCCTCCTCAGATCCAAACCTCTCCTTCTGAATTCTCGTCATGTAAAGGACATCGGTCTCAGGAAGAGCCTCTTCAATACTATCAAACTCCTCCTGTGAACAAAACAAACACGTAAGGGTTTCTGAACTAGAATCCCTGCTGAGTACATCCTGGTGAAATGTGTGCCGAGTTCCCACCTGTTTGATCCCCCGCGAGGCCACGTAGTTGATGATCACTGAGGGCATGTGCAGGTTTCTGGGCGCCACGTAGCGGAGGGTGATGCGGTACTGGGTCAGCAGCTTGGCCAGCGAGTGAACTGTGCGGCCGTGTTTCAGATCCCCGACCATCGTAATCTGAGAGAAATCAGTTCCATGTTGGTTTACAGAAAGGATTTTGCTCAAGCCTGAACGCACGCTCTCTCACCGTCATGCCGTTGACCGTCCCAAGCTCCTCCCTGATGGTGAAGACGTCCAGCAGGGCCTGAGTCGGGTGTTCGCCAACGCCATCGCCTGCGTTGATCACTGGCTTACGGCAATGTCGCGATGCAGTCTGTGTGTCGCAGAAGAGTTACGATGTTAAACTAGTTCACTGTGATGCTTAAAAGCTGAAGCACGGGTGTTTTGCTGCTATTGAAGACACATCTTGAAGGGGACAAATCATAGATCTCCTAATAAAGTTATAATGGTCCCATGGTCGACACAAATCATGTTTCTGAAGTTCTCTTCATTAAATTCCTCTAAAATAAAATAATCAAAAAAGCAGTTTTATTCCCGACAGTTTCATGACAGAAGATGCCGTTACAGAGCTGTCACATTAAAGAGCAAGTCACCCCCAAATCAGCTTATTTTTTCTGATAAACTATATAAATGTGAGTCTAATTGTGCTGCAGACACGTGTAGTCAACAGTTTTGCACTTTAGTGCATTTTAGTTAAAATTTTAATTTTCTGCCTAAAACTGTCAGTGTTGTGCCGTTGTCAGGTAAAAACTCTGCACTGCATTTGAATTTAAATCTGCCATCGCTATTGGCTAAGAGGTACCCTAGAACATTAGCTGGTACCATATGATGTCACAATGTCGTTGTGAGCCTGTGTGTGTGTACTTGTTAGCAGCTCCGCTCTCTCGGTCTGCTAGGCAACAGCATTTGTTGCATTTTTCAAACAGGAAGTGGGAGTTAAGTAAAAATCTGGTAGGGGGTGACTTGCTCTTTAAGAAAACAAGCTGTTGCAGGCCACACCCACTCCTTCCCTGATTGGCTGTTATGAGATTAGAAGTTCATCTGGGAGGGGCTTTGAGTAGAGCTGCTACCCCTGCAGTGTTGATAGGTGAGGGTGCTTTGCTGATTGTTTATAGAGGCGGTACAGACCCCCACATGGCAGCACAAAAGGTGAGTTTTATATTATATGTCCTCTTTAAGAAGTTCTGAACGCTCAGAGATGCGTTCAGATCCCAACTCTGCTAAACCTGCAAACCAAACCTCCAATACTTATGTGTTTGAAATTAAAACACATTAAAATAATTTAAAACTGACTAATGATGTGCAATTAATCTGATGCATTTATGTTTTAAGGAGGAATGTGCAGAAAAAGCAAAATTCTCCCAGATGGAAAAACCAGAGAAAAACAACAGCGTTGTGATGTTTGCAGAACAATCCTGCAGAGAGCGCTCAGGGAGATTTGTTGTTGTTTATGTAGCTTCCTTATAAACAAAGTGAGTCAATGTTTTTTCCAAAATCCAGCAAAAGTGTAGAAACCCACCTCGACAGCCCCCGGCGTTGGATGTCGCAGCACCAGGACGTCGGCGTAGCAGCTCATGGTCTGAACCGAGTCAGCCAGAGACTCTCCTTTCTGCGTGGATGACGTGGACTCGCTGAAGTGCACGACCGAACCGCCGAGACGCTGCATGGCTGCTGCGAAGGAGCTGCTGGTGCGAGTGCTGACCTCGTAGAACATGGACGCCATCACCTTGCCCTAAACAGGAAAACAGGAAAAATCAATCATTTCACCTGGACATGAATTAGCTAACCTTCATTTAAGGTCCACATGTCTGCAGTGATTTATAAACCATCAAGTTACCTTCAGGATTTCCAGACTTCGCTCCTTCTGAACCATCAAACGCAAAGTGTGAGCAACGTTGAAAAGGTGCGACATCTGAAATGGAGACGAGCAACGTTTTTTTTTTCTCCATCTCTTGTCCTGCATGAAGGTTTTACACTGTCTAGGTGTTTTATGGAGTACCTGCTCTTTGCTGAACTGTCTGACGGTCAGGATGTGCTGGCCCACCAGCGGGTGCAGCAGAGGAGACGTCTGGAAGTGCAACACTTGAGACGGGGCCGTCTGTCTGGGTTCTGACAGCGGGGAGAGCAGCCTGGATAACGGTGGAGGGTGGCTGTAGCAGTCACTGGCGCTGGGTGGTGGGAGCATGGTCACATCTGCAGAGCCGGTCACAAAGAGGGGATTACAATAACATCACTGAACACTCACAAAATTACCGTACCATTTTATTTCATGCAACGCATTTAAACAGCATGCGAGCTGACCAAAGCGCTGCACAGCCAGCAATCTCAAAAGGATTACTTAAAATACTTAAAAACAGTCAACAAATAGTGATTTAAATTTTAATTAGCATAAAATAACAAAATTATGTTGGATATTGTTTGATTTTCTCTGTAAAGTAAAAATGTGTCAAAGCATCATGGGAGTTTTACAACCTGGTGGCAATCCGGGATCAGAAGAGCGGTGAACACGAGGCGGCAGCAGAAAACGGGACTCGCCAGTCGAGCGACGCGGACTTGGAGGTCGGGTTCGGATGTGTCCTTCACGAGGAGGAGTGGGACGCAGTCGCTCTGGAGACTGATGGAACAGAACACGTATAAAACTAGGTACCGTTTGAAGGGAACTTCTTTGTCTGGAGTTTTATTACCAGCGGGGTTTCTTTAACGGGTTCAGCTGCATGAACTGAAGCAGCAGACCAGGTCTTCACATCCTCGCCGTAACCAGGAGGCACCAGAACCTGCAAGGTGACACAGACGCAACAAATCTAATCAAACTTTCATGAATTAGCTTCAGAACAGAAGAACGATGGGTAAGTGAGTGACTGCTGACCTGGCTGTCGATGTACGCCACCTCTCCTCTGAGAACCACGCGGCGGACTTTTCCCTTCACCTTCAGACCCTGGAAAGGAGTCCACTTGGACTTGGTGAACTGCATGGTCTGAGGAATAACCCACTCCTGCTCCAAGTCCACCTAAAAAGCACAAACGGTTGAGCAACTGTGTATATGCGTTGTTATATCGTACGACCCACGCTTCTATACCTCCACATAGGTGTTCTCCTGAACAGGTAGGTTGAAAATCCTGCGTGGGTTGTCGTAGAGACGCCTGATGATGTCATCCAGCGTCAGACGTCCTTCGCTGACGGCAGTCAGCAGCAGCGGCAGCATCGTCTCCAGGCCGGGATAGCCAGGAGGGGGGCGCGCGGAGTTCTTCTCCTCCACAGAGTGAGGAGCTAAATAAAAAAAAGAAACCATTTATGTTCTGAATGAAGCTGAAGCTGCAGTTCCTCTGGACTGAAAACGTGCGCTCACTGACCGTGGTCCGTAGCAAAGCAGTCGATGACATCCAGGTTCTCCCAGAGCGCCTCCATGTCCTCACGAGTTCCTAACATGGGTCGAACCTGAGCTTGCCCCTCGCCAATCTCCGCTATGTTCTCCTCACACAGGAACAGGTGATGGGGAGCCACCTCACACGTGACCTGGATCCCCTTCTGCTTAGCGGCTCGGATGATCAGGATCTAACAACCACGATAACCGTTAGGGATGCTTGGTTGTGACTTAGCCGGTCAGCTGTCATGAAAGTGGTTTTTTACCTCCTCCTTCTTGGCCACGTGACATATGTGGACCGGCCGCTGGTAGAGCTGGGCCACCATCAGGATGGCAGCCACCGTCTGCTTCTCAGCATGAGCCACGATGGGCATCTGCTTCGGCCATTTCTCAAAGTGCTTTGTTGAACAGAAGCAGACAGTTTGGTTGGAGCTCTGATATCAGCTAAAGGCAGCATTATTAATTCAAATCAGACCCATGAGAGGAGATAAAACCACATCTTCCTCCACGAAACACAATTACTGACAAGATGGCACCAAATATCGGTTTCATGAAATCCGTCGCTCTAAAGAGGTTCAGACCTGCCAACTAGGGCTGGGCGACACGGCCTCAAATCTATATTGCGATATAATCTGAAGCATGAGCGGTAACGATATATTTTTTCCTCTGTTTATATGTGTCAAAATGACATTTAAATGTCCTCATGTGGCAAATATATGCCTCATGTGGCAAATATATGCCTCATGAGGCATACAGGCCTCCTCCTCCACCCACTCCATGCTTGCAGCCATTCTGTTGTCCCAATGTCAGCAGGGTGCTCATCTTAGTGACGTCATGTGTTATTGCGACACAAACACACACACACACACACACACACACAGACACACACAGTTTACCTTCTCAGAACAGCAGCGAGTGGCAAACTGGAGGGAGGCAGGAGCAGCGGGCAGGACGAAGCAGGGAGGAGGGGGGCGGGGGTGTTTCGCTATAGGTTGGGCAGGATAGATTTTCTCCGCTTTTCTACCATGATTGGCTTAAAACTTCTTCACCACGCTGCTGAGTCGTGTTGTCAGACATGAGTACCACACGTGCATATTTGCCACAGAACTCGACTCACGTATCCGCAGCTTCTTGCGTAGTTTAGGAGGTGAGTCGTACCAGCGAGATGCCAAATTGCGTACTGGCTACGCAAAATGCATACAGGTTGGCAGGTTTGAAGGATTTGACCTTGTTCCAGGTATTCAAAATAAAGTGGAGATGAAACAAACCTCCATCCACAGAGAGACGTTGTCCATCTTGAGGGTGGAGAATGTGTCGTTCAGGTACATCTTCAGACCTGCGGTCTGGGCAGCGATGGATGGAAGGGTGGCGGCGTTGTCTGAAGCGGCACCCACATACAGCGCGTAGTCACAGCGGCAGCCCGCTTTGGCCAGCTGCAATCGCCAAACCAGCTTTGTTTAGCTAACAGACATAATCCTCCTCACTCTGAAAAAGAACACAAGTGGAACTAGAAGAAAAGTGTGTTGGCGTACCTTCTGAACCTGCGCCAGAGTGCTGGCATCGATGATGGCAGGGGACGTGTTGGGCATCGCACACACCAAAGTCACGCCTCCTGCCAGAGCGGCGGCGGTCCCAGAAGAGAAATCCTCCTTATAGGTGGCGCCGGGCTCCCGCAGGTGAACGTGGACATCGATCAGACCTTTAATTTAAACACAAAAAGGGCGTGGTGGTTTTAAACGTCGAGTATGAGGTCAACGCTGTGAGGAAAAACACCTGAGCGAGTCACTCACCAGGTAGACGGACGAGCGTCTGCGACGTCATGCTGTCGATGTGCGTTTTCACAGGTGGAGCGCGGCCAATCTGATGAAGGGCCTAAAAAAACATGTCGCTGCGTTTAACTCAACCCACAACAGGTTCTGGATCGGTCCAGGCGAACACCTTTACCTGCACAAAGAGCTTGGTGCACTTGATGTCGATGATGAGGGGGACCGAGTAATCCACGGCCATCCGTCTGGTCCGATAACCTTTAGTGACGAAGGAGGACAGCCTGCGACCCCCGCTGTTCCTCATGGAGAGGTTGATGACCAGGTCGAAGTGGTTCTCCTCCAGGTAGTTCATGATGCTGCGCTGCCTCTCCTTGGTGGGAGAATCACTGTCGTCCTCCTCAAAGGGCCAATCTACTGCCGTCACCTGGAGACCGGGAAGAGCCAGAAGGGTTTACACTAGGGCTGAACGATCTATCGTTTTTGGACCGAAATCGCGATTTCAAACAGCACGATCACGTGACCGTCAAAGCTGCGGTTTTAGCGGTTTTGACTGATCCAGGATCAGTTGTGTAACTTTTTTCAGGGTATCCGCGGGTCTTAAAAAGTCTTAAAAAGTCTTAAATTTGCTTTTCCAAATTTAAGGCCTTAAAAATCCTTAAAATGACAAATAATCCTTAAATACAGTTTCTAAAGGTCTTAAATTACCAAAGACCCAATAAACAACATTCCTTTATTTCTGTAAAATTTTTGTGAATTTCTAGTTCGTGTTCAGCAATTTTTGTGTGCGATGTTGGCGTAAGCGGAACCGTACACATTCAGTTAGTTGTGAAAGGGGGCTATTTTTAGATGAGCACATTAGCTGGTTAAACTAGAGGGAGCTTGCGCCATGGGGAAGTGCAAGTTTAACTGGATGGCTAATCCACGTTCGCGACGTGGTTAGCACCGGTTCCAGGCAATAGCTGGAAATTATAGCTTCAATTTAATTTAAAAAATAGCTTAAATTTGGTCAAAGTGGCCTTGAAAAAGGTCTTAAAAAGTCTTAAATTTGGCTCCCTTACACCTGCAGATACCCTGTTTTTTTTTTCATCCGGGGTTTTCCCGTGTGTTATGGCGGCGGCAAAAGCCAGCGTGGGGGAGGGGGGTGGGGTGTACCGTCCAGAGCCGAGCCCAACTCCACCGCTGTCAGAGCTGCATGTTCAGGTTGATTTCTATGGCGTTTAAAGCGTGCCACAACCCGTGCACGCGCATTGGATCCACAGCGCGCGTGTGAACGGGACTCGCGAGCGGAAATATACATGGCGAGAGGTCATTTGTGCACTGAGAGGGAGCAAACTGTGTCTGTGAGCGCACAAGGATGTGCACAAGTGACAAACCTGCGTGCGCGCGTTGTCAACGAGCACACGGCAGAGGAAAGCGTGCGCGCGCGGCAGCCTCTGTGCGCGCTCGGCAGCCTCTCTGCGCGCTCGGTTTCTGACTCCTGCTCGCTCGGCTGTAAGGGTTTTGGCACTCTGGAGGCGTGGCCTGTGGCAGATCTTCTCTGTCCTCTGATTGGTTAGTGTACCCCGCACTTTACCCTCTACCTATCTATATAAAAAAGTCTGCTAGTCAAGTAGTCGCTGGCATAGCTCAGTTGGAAGAGCGGGTGACTCTCGCCCCGGAGGATCCAGGTTCGAGGCCGGGCAAGGAAAATGCATTAGATGTCATGTTAATTTTTCTTAATTTCAGGTATTTTACAGTTGTGACCGTTCAACTGTCATTAAACGTCCGAATGTTTGCTGGGCAGTGTTTTAAAAAGTGCACATAAGCTAGATGGTTTTAACCATATAAAATTACATTTTTTGTGATACTGGAAAAATACATACTGAAATAAAACTACTGATTGAAAACTTTATGACTGTGGTTGTACAATATATGACTCACTAATACACTGCAAACTCCCTTAGAGTGGGGCTTCCAGAGAGAGAGAGAGAGAGAGAGAGAGAGAGAGAGAGAGACAGAGAGAGAGACAGAGAGAGAAAAGTTCTTGCCTCATTAATGAATTGTTTATTTTTTTCAGTATTTAATTGACAAATTAATCCTTTCAAATAATTAATTGATGAGTTACATAATTGTCCATTTAGAATTGTTGAATGGACTGAGTCAAGTTTGGTGCACTTTATATATTTCAAAACATGTTTTTTTTTAATTTTAATGATGCATATAAATAATTTAAATGTTAATTTAATGAAATATTTCTATTTTTTCATTACCTCACCCTTGTTTTGACAAAAACGGGACCTTGCTGGATAATATCATGGAGAAACTATTTGTTCACAGTACATGGCTCCGTAAGGATCTGTGTACCAAAGGAGGAGATACTCAGAAATCTGTCTGCAGATTGTTACAACTCAGACTGGAAGTGGCGGGCTGTAATAAGAAAGGAGACCAAACAGAGGAGTGGGGGGGGGTTCAACAACTGATTTATTTAACAAAAGTAAGGATTTACTAAAGCAAGTTAGTGAACAGAAAATGGCCATCTCAAGGTTTTTACTCGGATGTCCCTCAGCAGGGTGCAGCACTGTTGAAGGTCATCTGAATGAAAGCTTGATATGCAGTTTCCTTTATGAATATACAGTGTGGTTGCCGTACATATGTTGAGGTTCTCAGACATCAGGCTTCTTTGCCCAGGCCTTCACTAGTGGGCTATTTTAAAAGTTGGTAAGGAGAAAAACCACAGCATATAGCTGATTGTTTACAAATGCAAGGAGGGGAATAACAATCAAAATGCTTGTGTTCTTGGACCAGATGAATGGAGCGCTCCACATGCACTCAGAGATGTTATGGCTTCTGTTTCTATAACTTTACATGCAGACATTTGAGGTTTGCCAGAAAGGAAAGCTGGCCTGTACACTTTGCAGGGCACAATGTCATCAATGAAGAAACCCCTGTCTACCAAGATGACAATCTCTAGTTGTAGCATTTTCAACACACCAGATTCCCAGGTTGGTCGCTGATAGTTTCCAGCATACAGTGCTGAGACAAAGGTCACTGGCCTATGTGGCACAATCCAAATGAGCCTCTCAGAGTGCAGTTGAACTTGAGGAAAATATATGGACTCTGGAAGAGAGGGGAATATGGGCCATTGACACCTCAGATCAGTGCAGTCAAGAACTACTGGTGTTTGGGTAGTCCCTGAACGTGTTTGTGATGCCCCCACCGTCT